AAATCGAAGATGTGCGTGTCAAATCCGAACAGACAGACTGACATTGATTAGTATGACCGTCCTTGCCTGGCTCATTACTGCTCGTATCGAAATCGTATGCAAAAGGAAATTAGCTTCACAATCGCTTTACAATATGATTTGACGAATTTATTTTTATTGTTACCAACTACCCTATATCTTTCATTATCTATTTAAAATTCTGTAAAAACATTTTTTTATTGCTTATACATACCTACAACAACGTAGACAATCGCCTGCGTCCATAATGTCCTTGTTCTCCCTTCGTTGAAAAATTATTAATTCAATATTAAAAATGTTTTTTTATTTACCTTATAAAAACTCAATTGCTTAACTCAGACTACTATATATCTACTAAACACTACTTTTAGTTAACCGAGCTCTGCAAAATTATCTTGACTATACTTATTGTGTAATATGCCGCTATACATATATGTCGCTACTATTACAAAACTAAATAGGCGGTACTCGAATTTTCAACATATTAGACTCTTACAGCCGGTAATTATTTAGCAGCTTTCTTTAGTTCTATTGTTCGCTGAAAGCAATAAAACACTTCATCTCGACATCCGCTAGCCCGAGAGCTTGTGAACATTTTAAATACCTTACCTAAGACGCAAAATTCTATAAGCGCGTAAGAGGCACAAAAATCTCGACAAATGTATAGAACTACACTAGAACTAGTTTGCCCTACTTTAGTTTACTAGTTAGATGTAATATGAAAAATAACCTTTTCATTCAGATTTTCGATTCTCTGTATGCAATGCAAAGACACCTAGTCTTTGACATTATTACCCACAGATGGCGTTAGAAAATATTTTATAATTAGTTTATTCGTGTAAGCTACGTAAGTAATATTAATAACTATTTACTTTTTTCGGGCTTTGTAATTTCAACTAAGTAATGTTAGTGGGTGGAAGAAAACAAGTCTCAACGACAATGACATCATAATAATCATCTGCCTGACTACGAAGTAATATGCCATAAGATAATAAGATTCCTGGAATTTAGGAATTTGGAACAAAAAAATTGCCGATTCTGATTTTCAATGGCTAGATTCTGACAGAAATCTGTTTTGAAAATTTTAATATTCTTCACCTGATTTTTATTTCAATTTGGATAATTGACTCCTGAACTAAATTAGCATGTAACACTGAAACACAGCAACTTCCGGCGTTTATCCTGAACGATCTGGGTCGAAACGATGTGAGAACATTCTTACGCTATAAATATCAATCCTAACCTTTTTTGGTACTTGATTATAGCTGTGCTATATATTTACATATGATAAAACCCGTTGACTTTTATGTACCAATCGACTAAAATTAATACAGAAATAAATATAATAATATAATGAGTGTTATACACGGATCATGTTTAATACATTTTGGGGGTTTCATTGGACGCTTCACAAAAAAAAAAAAATATTTATTGATTATAAATACATACTATAATTCCAGAATATACCTATTGTGATAGAATTATTAAATTATTTACAACAAATAACATATCTCAAAGAGTGATATATTTAGTGAAAGAGAGAAATATTTTTTTTACTTGATACCATTATGTTTCCCCGGGGTTCAAACCTAACTACTACCTTTCGCGCTACAACATAATTTAACTATGCACTGAGCTTAACTTAATAATTAATAGTAAAAGAAGGTAAGATTTCATGAAACTTACCTAATAACATCAATTAGCACATACGCAAAATTCCGAAAAGACATTGTATCATAAATATGTTGATAACTAGGGCAGAGTACACTTTTCCCATGAAGACAATACGAGCGAAGCCGGCGGATAAACATCGTCTTATCTCGGCACACATCTAGACACCTCGCGTGCTTGCGTCTGTAAATAATAAGTTAACCAGAAAGAAATGTTCTTGTTGCGTTCATGTACAAAATCTTTATTTTACGACTCGATGTGGGAATATTTTAGTGTTGTGTGTCGCATTTAAGTTAAAGAGCTAGGTGAGTATTAATATAGCAGAAATATAGCAAATACAATGTTTCTGAAAATATATGTAGATCATATATATTTGAGAGAAAGGAGTTAAATTATAAAACGGGATGTGGTTTACGTTAACTTGCTTTTAAAATATCTAGTACCTAGTAGTGATAGATCTAGCTAGAAAACAAATAGACAAACGGCTCCGGTGGTAAAAAGCAACATCTGAATCATCAGGGTCCCGAAAACACCGAAGATGGAGCGATTCCTAAACAAAAGGGACAAATGAATGGATAAACTTATACGATTAGGACTAATCAGCACTCGTTATTTCAAGATTTGATGGGTTAATTCGGATCTATTGTAGATCTATTTGAAAATATACCTTCAATTTCCCACAATTTTGACAGTTTATAAATTCGCTTAATAATTATTAGTCTAAAATTTTTAATTTAATTTTAGACTATTCATTAGTAGTTACTGCTACACTGGGCACATCACTAGATGCCGAATATTCACAGGCGTTGACACGGATCCCTAGTAGCGTGTAATCTTTGTTATTATGACATTAGTGACGCAACCGCCATCTTGCGGGAAGCCCGACTGTTTTTACCTCAATCATTACTAATATTAAGCAGCGTTCATTGCGTCGTATCGATTAGTTCATTAGATTTTTAATTAAATATTTTTGAAAGATTAATTTATACATACTTGTAACATCTTGAAAGCTGTTCCCGAGCGGCATATATTTAATTCATAAAAGTCCACTTTCGACCTATATTGGACATGATTTGCTGTAAATAAAATAATACATGAAATAATTACCGTCTGGACTTGCATTATTATTTTACTATTATTTATATCGAAGGTTAAACGATAGGGCTTCAATTACACAATTTAATTAAAATTTGTCAATCCGTTAAGATGTGACAAGCGTCTTTGGAGATCAATTAATTTTATATATTATACAAACAAGTGTCACTGACAACTGTTCTTCCCAAGTCTTTTCCTGATAAATACGTCCACTTAGAATATAAAAGACCGGATTATTTTTGATCTCCTTTAGCAGCGAATTAATGTATACTTAATGTTATCTAATTCGTTTTCATTGTCGCACGTAACAAACTATTGTCGCCACATTTGAACTGACAAGGCATTATGCAGGCCGCCTTACTCACAACAATACGCCTCTATAATTGGAAAATTCGTTATGCAATCGGGATTATGCTGATCCGTTATGAATCGATACAGAATGTGGGATGTTCGGAATTGATCTACTGAACGAGTAGCCCGTTTGTAGTTAAACATTTGCTGAGTCATAACAAACAAGAATATTTAGAGCACTATGCTAATTTTGGTAATGCCCCTTGTATTCGTTTGACTTAGAATGATAAAACAATATTTAGTAACAGGCAACATAATATTATGTGTGTTAATAGCAGGTTAAGAATTAATAATTATTTTTGCAAGAGCGACAATCACTGAAACGTTTGTCGTTGTTAAACACGATTGTCTAGTATAAATCTATTTATACTAATATTATAAATCTGAAGACTGTTTATTTGACGGCGCTATCTCTAGAGACAACTTTTGTTTTTTGAATACGCGGGCACATCTAGTAAGGTTTATGCAACTTATGTATCGTTCGCCGTTTACCCAATTGATACATATTAATTAAAACAATGTTTAATTGTTTAAATATATTAATTATATATTCTGGTTTTCTATTGAAAACAATTTTCGACTCGGGCAGGACTTGAACCGGCATCGTCAGCATTCGGTGCTGTTGCTCTGACGAACGCTGACGATGCCGGTTAAAGTCCTGAGCGAGTCAATTTTTGTTTCACTTTATAATTATATAGTGCCTTCATGTGCAATAATAACATGTGAAAAAAAAAGTTTTCAAATATTCACAGTTGATAGTTCATTAGAATTAACAAATGACTCGTCACGAATTAGTTGGCGAAACACGAATCCCACAATAAGTAATTAATTATTCACGAGGAACCATACTGTTCGCTAATGAACGGGTACAATAAAAATCGTCCAACGCAGGTTACGGGTCAACGTAGGCTGTAAGACTTTGACACACTACGTTTGCAACTGAGATATATTTTAAAAATCGAAAATAAATGCTCTCAAAGCAACAGCACAGAACGGTGGCGATGCCGGTTCAAGTCCTGCCCGAGTAGAACATTTTTTCAATTTATTATCGATTTTTAAATTATATAGTGCCTTCAAGTGCAATAACATGTAAAAAATATTAAATTTTCTACTGCACCCCCCCGCTTATTATAATGAGGAAAATCCAGAATAGGAGACGTTTTAATAAGACTGCGCAACATCGGGGAGTAAACGTGGGTAGAAGTGGTCGAGACATTCCTGCAACTCGCACAGGACACCGGCCTTTTTTACAGCCAACCTTCAGTAGTGGACAGCTGGGACCATGGGCTTTTTAAGGGTATACAGACCTCAATCCGTGTCGTTGAACATGTATTCACATAAACGCACATATCAAAATGATACTAATATTTTGTTGCAAGACTGAATATCAAACTCCCGATGTCACAACCATAGACACTATTATGGGTTTCATAATGTCTACCAAGTAGTAGGTATTTTACAAACCAGATTTTTAGGTAAGAAGATAAGATCACGAACAACTAAGAAAATAACAGTTCAGGTTTTAAAGGCTTAATATAGTTAACACAGAGTTTAAAAGAATAATCTTATATCCAGGATACGAATTTGAATAATTTATTAAAAATTAAAAAGGCTAAGTATGCTATGTTCTTAATCACTGGAATGAAGCCTTTACAACAAACGATATGATCGGTCAAAACGTTGTGATTTGCGTTACGTAAGCAAATGATAGGGAATCCTTTTAAGAAAGAACAATACTTTTTAACAACCTATCAATGGTGTGAAGTAATCCTTATGGAGTTTTGAGAAATTTGGCCGAGTTTTTATATTTATATAATAACACACAATAGTTTTTACAACAATTAACACATAAATATTGGTATCTTTTATATAAAATAGAAGGAGTGTGGTTGTTGTTCCAGTTGCGCCATCTTGGATAGCAATCTGTGCAGGCGTCTATGCTCCCGCGCTGGGAGGGCATGGACAGGTCCACTCCCAGCTGTGGGACTTGAGGACGCAGGGGCCACGACTAGGTCAGGCTGTAGCTCGCGACACGCTTCTAGCCTTTCAGATACATGGCGCGGCATCTATGAGATTTAAACTGAATGTTTAGATTATGAATTAACTTAATTGGACTTAAGTTAATTGTTCAACATAAAAAAAAGTTATAATATGGTAGCAGATAAATTGTACATTACAAACTAATAACCATCGGTATTGGGTTTTCCTATATTCAATAAAAAAATATTTATATTAAAATACTAATTAAATCACCACTATGTCCTAAGTTTTAGAGAGTTAAAGAGCTATTCATCCCCCCCATTAAAGGCCTAACAAGGACTTACACTAAAAAGCGGCGACTGCAGCAGCGGTGTCCAGAGAGGTAGCAGCTTATTCAACAACGTGGAATTGCACTCCAGCAGCGATTCGAGCAAGCCCAAGAAATGTAGATTTACAGTTTCAGCCAACTATAGTGATAAAACAGTCAAAATAGACAAATTCATTAAATATAAAGTGTGAGTACTAAACAGACGTAAACGGTTTTTCATATATTTCACTTACGAATTACAGACACGTAGTAATAAGATAACAATTACAGTTTCTTTACATTTTATCAAATACAATTGAGGCGTTTCGTTTTTAGTGTAAAAAGAAACAAACGTACAAATCTCCACTTTCACAGTAGTAGTACTGATGGCACATATACATTTTATTAGACATGCCATTTAAAGGTTAGTATGCAAGTAATTTGGTATTTACCAGTTTAGAAGCGTGCGTGAGCTGCAATAATGTCGGCACGAGCTTACACCAAAAGTGCAACAAAAGCGCAGCAGCTGTATGGTGGGGTTCAGTGGCGGGCGCTGCGCAACTGCTAACTCGCTCCAGGTACAGGGTCCATAAGTGGCAAAGCATGAACGCCTGCCACAGCGAGCTCATGCGTGCCCCACCCACCTTGCATTGCTCAGCGTATGACGACATTATTATCTAGAAGTATATACTTACTAATTTAAGTATCCGACTCGAAGGACCAAAAAATAAGCAAATTGTATTAAGAAAATAACCGTCTTGAACGGATTTTGTGGTTATGCAGTGATACTTACCTGGATGTGATCTGTAAGATTGCAAGTGGCATCAAGGGACAATGGTTGATGTAGATGCGAGCTGTCTCTCGCATTGGTAAGGGCACCAAGCACGAGCCAAGAAACCACTCGGACGCGCCCCACACACTCTACTACTTCACGAGACCTGGAAATTAATATTTTCGATGGGATCGTTCGTCTACTGAGAGCAATGTAATAACACATTTAACAAATATGTTAGACTGCTTGGGAAACCTGAATAATAAAATAAATTTAAATAAAACACTTTAACGGTTTAAAACGCGATATATTAGTTAAACTTATTTGAAAATGATTTTTAACTCCGGCACGACGTTAAAATTCATTTTGACGAGTCTCCCCCTGACCACGGCTGCTGCAAAGCACCCGAAACGTCGGGCCAAGAAAAGTCACTTCCAAATAAGTTTAAATAATATATCGCGTTTTAAACAGTTAAAATGTTTTATTTAATTTAAATGTGTACTACTCGCATAAACTATAGACAGAATTTAAGTTAAACTTATTTGAAAATATTTTACTGAGACGTTAAAATTATTTTGACGAGTCTCCCCTGACCACGTGTGAAAGCACCCGAAACGTCGGGCAAGAAAAGTCACTTCCAAATAAGTTTAAATAATATATCGCGTTTTAAACAGTTAAAATGTTTTATTTAATTTAAATGTGTACTACTCGCATAAACTATAGACAGAATTTAATGAAAGAAATATGAAAATTCCGTCCGGAACTTGAACCATCGTCCATAGAACCAATTTTCAAAGAGAAAATAATGTATTATGTTATATGGCTTAGATACAATTTTCATAAAGCAAACCTCAATCTTGTCTGTCATTGACAAAATAGACGAGACACACTTGACACAATATTGGCAGATACATACAATATTGCAATAATACTGTTCGCAATCGAGTTTGTTATCGTTAGTAATTGTTTTTTTTTAATTAATAATAAAGCCTAATTCTTGTTGTTTTTATTTAACTTAAACTTTAATGACATCCATGATCTAAGCTACTTCACAAAATGATTTTAACTTTCATACCCAGTAGGTGAGGCAGTAAGCGGTGGCATAAGGTGTCGACTAGCCTGCCCTCGTTCTTGCTTTCCTCCTCGCTGTTCTAGAGCCAGCTCCATCGCCACATACTGAGCTATCCCACCTTTTACTATTGCACCCAACGTATCTTCGTTCAAGCATATTAGATTACGATTCACTATTGACTTTGATACAGAACCCTGAAAAAAAGTGTATATTTCTAACATGGTATATATTTACATAATATTCTGAGAGTAATAAACAATCGTGAGAAAATGCGCCTTATAGAGCTTTGCTTCTGTTACTTAAATATAAAAGACCATTCTATGTCGATTGAAAGATATAACGTATTGAATCTGGCTAAAAGTACCAATACTTGTATGTAAATTAATTTACTTTAATCTTATTCATCAAGTTAGGGTCGTGTAAGAGATCAATCATATCCGGCAGATGTGGCCTCATGCAGTCCACAGGACCAGCACCGAGTTCCCGAGCCTCCTGTCCACCGCACAACAGGTCGCCTGTTTTCAGCTGAGGGGGTAGAAGTAGTGTACATCCATGACCTTTAGAACAGTATACATGATTATAAATACTAGCATTGCGTTATAAAAAGGGTCTGGGTTAAAAATTCAATTGAAATAATAAACATAGCCTGTGAATAATGTCTATCGCAAAATGGACACATAAATTTCACTTAGTTTTTACACACAAAGTAAATTTTGATAGTTTCTTACTTCTGGACACTAATTTTATTTAATAACAAAATCAGACATTTAGGACTAACCTTGTAGTACAAACTGTATCAAAATGAAGAGGTTATCATCGGGTATGGTTGTCTTCGTGCGTAGTGCTTGCACGAGCTCATAAACCAAAACGCGACACAGTAATAGCTTGTCCCGATCGCGTCCGAAGGCCCTCATACAAGCTGCGCACAGTTCGCAGAGTAGAGATAGACGTAAGACGAAGTTCTGGACGCTGTAGCTCAAGATCTTAGACATAGGCTCCAAGAGGCTCTGTACAAATATCCGTAGATTAAAGTTAGTATAAAGCGATTACTCGAAATATATGTAAAAAAGCCTAATTTTTACTTATATATTAAAGGGAGGACATAAACTACATTTTAGCTTCACCAATTAGTAAAATAGAATATAAAATAAGACATGGAAAATATTATGTTAAAAGGAATAGCAGGAGATGGAAAAAAGGAAGAAAGAATTCTTGTCTGAATGTAATAATACAATAATAATGTATGTGATATGTATGGGTCATATGAAAGTTTGTTATTTTAAACATCAACATTTTACCCGTTCAAGTAAATTAAAGATCCAAGTTACCTTATGTTGTGCAGCAGCAGGAATTCGCAAAGCCGCAGCGCATAGTTTAAGCGGCGGAAGCACATCGTCGAGCTGAGGAAGCTGAAGCACCACTGCTCGTACTAATGTATCAAGGGCGCTAAGAACAGCACTACAAGCGCTGGGAGGGCCTAGGGCTTCGGGGGCTAAGCTCTCCAAATACAATGCCATGTTCCCCATTATTGTGGGCATTTGCTGGAAAATTTGGGGCTATGTAATTAAAATATTTATTGAGATAAATAAAGATATCGAGTGATGCTGTAGGTTGAAGATAAGACGTATTTCTAGTTAAAGTGCAATAACATAAAATTTCTATATGGATGCAGTTAGGCTAATTAAAGTTTTTAGACCTGTACAGATTTTTTGTAGGCACTTACATCGATAGGCAATGTCTTTTTAGAGTTTAAATGTTCAATGACCAACTGCAGCGGTCCACACGGGTACAACTCGTTGAAGTCGACGAAAGAGAGAGCGACGCTTTTGAAAAATGCTTTACGTTGTTTTTCTGTGGAAATAGATGAAAAAAAACTAACAGGTTGAAAACTTTATTCCTTTTTACATGTTATTGCACATGAAGGCACTATATAATTTAAAAATCAAAAATAAATTGAAAAAAATTTCGAGAAAGGTTGAAATTACATTGCGCAAGAGGTATATGTATTTTTTGTGATTGGATAAAATCGTCAATGTCTTGTTGGACACGATATCTTAATTGGTTAGAGCAACAGCACGTAACGCTTGGATGCCGGTTCAAGTCCAGGCCGAGACATCTTGTGCAATGTAATTTCAACCTTAACATTATATACATACATACATATTAAATTTCCTTTTTCTTTTAATAAATGCTCTTAAAATCCTTTAAAGAACGTAATTATTTGTATTCATAAGTAATCTAAAAAAATACTTTAAACGTATACCTGGAGTCCGTTGTAGAAATACTTGGAGAAAAACATTGTTCGGTGCGAGCTGATGAAGTACGCATCTCAAGAACTGATGCGCGACGAATACCGCGCTTCCAGGCAGTCGCGTATTGGTTTCCGTTTGCCACGAATAGTTGCCCAGTTGCACGACCCTGAGAGACACCATAACATCATTCTTACAACCCCCATACTAATGTAGGACTTTATTAGGTTAGTATTAGCAGGTCATTATTAAATACTGTTGAAAATATTTAACTAAAAGTAAAAAAACTACTAAAATATTTTGCGTTTTAAACCGTTAAAGTGTTTTATTTAAAGGCTATTATTACTTTTTTATGATGAGGAGGAACGAGACTAGGGGGGGGAGAGCATGGGGTTCACATAACATATCGAGCCATTTGGGCTTTGACAATCCACGGACTGAAACCGAAACGTGATGCCTGTGTGGAACCCGCGACCCGTTGATCACTATCCATACATTGCTATCATTACGTCAAAAAGCCCATAACAATTTTGTAAAAAAAGGTTGCATATTTTACTCATAATGCCTTATAATATTATACCTAGTAACAGTATGCAGCAACGCGGGCAGCATAGGTGCAGCAGCAGCCGGTTCGCGTCGCACAAAAGTACCGAGCACGATCACGCATAGACCAAGTTCTTCGTCGCTGTATTGCTCTACGGAACTGCCACATTCTGAACCTAATACGGTTTATTATTCACACATGAACAAATTGCAAGCATGACAATAATTGAACAGAGACGTGATAAAGTTTCCGGCCTGAACGTAAAACCTTTTCACTGTACCACAATAGAAATGTTTTAAGTAAGCCGAAAACAATCATCAGGTTTATGATACAATGATATTACATTGCATGTATTTTTGTAGATTTCAAAGAGGATTATGGAATTATTATTTAAAAAAAATACAAATATTAAAATAGTACTTTAAGGGTGTTGTTTACACGTACATCTATGTTTGAGTGTTGCCTCAGGTCTACAAGGTGTCGTATGCGCATGCGCAGCTCGCCTTGCTGCGCGTCCCGAATCGCTCCACCAACCACCGCTGTGAATTCCGCTTTCTGAATTGTAATTATACATACGTTGTAAAATATTATACGCTGAAGAGCTTACAAAAAACAGAAAATATATAATACAACGGAATGATTCCTCTACAAAAAGTCTTACTTTAACGACAGTCATTAATAAATGTGGCTGTTATACAAACATTTTGTCTAATATAACGTTAATCTAATGTTAACTTAAGTATAATTTAGTTTGATTTTATAGTTTTAAGTCCTAACCAGTAGATTGTGGGCGAGGTCTAGTGTGCTGCGGTGTCGGTGGCGGAGTGTGAAGTACAGGCGACCCTAGCTGTGCCACCTGACGAGCTAAACGCCTGGGAGATCTGCAAATCAAATACCTGAAATAGACTATTAACGCACTTTGTTCATGTCGAAAGTTTTAATTATCATGTGAAAGACGTCGGTTCTTTTTATTTTTCTTTTGGTCAATATTGTTCATTTAATGATTTCATACATTAATGCCACTGTTTTAGCATTAGCAGTTGATTTGACTGTGAAAACACAAATTCTTTGTTATACTATCGAATTGCTATTAGTGATTAACACTAAATTAAGATATTGTTAGATACTGTCTATAGTTTACGCGAGTAGTACACATTTAAATAAAACACTTTAACGGTTTAAAACGCGATATATTACCGTCGGGCCGAAGTTAAAAATCATTTTCAAATAAGTTTAACTAATATATCGCGTTTTAAACCGTTACAGTGTTTTATTTAAATAAGATATTGTTTTCAACTACGAAGGCCGAACAGTTAAAAAACCCAAACAGCCTTGTAGAATGGCTGTGAAAACCTTATAAGACTTTTATTAGGTTAGATCCTGAGAAACAGGAATCTCAAACGAACTGATTTTGATTATTAAGTTATAAAATGGTCATAATATTCTCTATTTACCGAGTACTTTCCGAAGAGAGACCTTTTGTGAGGTCGTGCGGACGAGAGGTGGGTGTGGGAGTGGCTTCTTGGTCAGAACGACTGGAATCCGTTTGTAGAGTTTCTTCTATACAAGTAATTTTTAAATATAAAATCTGTGTTGTCATAACCTTGTAGCATCATGGTTAAGCGTTATATGCAAGGCACGAAAGGGGTCCACAAAGGGGACATGACAAATTTGATCTACTATATAGAAACGTAGAAAATGGGTTGTCACTTTTTATCTATCTTATAAATGTACATTATAAAAATGAAAGTGACCATCTGTAGTGTAATGTAACACTGGACTATTAAAGTTATACTTAATTTGAAAATGGATTTGAGAACATTTCTGTTCATTCAATGCCGCTAATCTGTGATGTAAAAATATTTTAAACTCACCGTGAATATTCAGCGCCTCGCGAACTCTGTCCACCAACGCGTTAAAGACCGGATATTGCTCCTTGTTGGGTTTAGGGCCTATTGGAAGTAACCTGAATAAACATTACAATAAGAATATTAAGTACTGTCTGTAGTTTACGCAGGTAATACACATTTAAATAGAAAAAAATAAACGGTTTAAAACGCGAAACTTTACTCTATAACAGCCGTAACACCATGTGGCATGGCTGTAATTTGTAAATATCCATGTTTTATGGATATATATCGCGTTTTAAACCGTTAAAAAGTGTTTATTTAAATATGAATATTACTGAGTTTGAAAATGTATAATGCTTTGGGATTTAACAAACATACGAAGAAATTGAACAGTCGATACAATCATACGAAATATTCATAGTTTACAGTCCTGGTTATTCACTTTTATTTATATATTGTTACTTCTATTTTTTCTCTTACCACTAAATACTTATTTTTAAAATTTTTGTTAAAAAGCAGAGCTTGACCACAACTACATTTTATTCCATAAGCTTATAAGTTATAGTATAGCAATCGGAAAGGTTATCACTAGTTTTCTATAGTTCGAGAACGAGCATATTGGTTCTGGCCTTTTGCCAAGTTAGAAAAAATACTATATACCTTTCAGGCGCCGGTGTTGGAATATGAAAGGTTTGAGGCATAGGAGGTTGTGGGGTGGTCGCCCCTCCACCCCACGCCACTTCCATCTTAGACAGTGGCGACTCGGGCGATGCGTACGCAATACCTATATTAAGATAAAAATATAAACATTACAATTTTTCATCAATTAACAATATATAAAGAAATAAAAATGATATTACTGTTCGGCTTACCGGGACTCTTGAGCAGCTGTGGATTTTGCATAGCGTCTCCGTTAGAGGAGGGTAAAGTGTCTGGAGATGTGCTGCTACCTGCTGCTAAACAGCAAAAACAAAAAAATAACATGTTTACGAAAACCGCTTTTGTAACCAAATTGTTAAACGTGTTGTCGCTAAGCGAGGTCCCGGGTTCGACCCCAGGGGAAACAATAGATTGTTTCGATTGAGCGGGGCACACGACGGATATAAAAACCGATCGAGGTAAAATGGATACAGAAATGTGTTTGCCCACACGCGGCGGAGTTGAACTTGACTTCACGATTAACGAAATATGTAATTAATAATAACATTTAAGATTTTTTTTTTATATTAAAAAGAGACGAAAATTTAGGAAGTTTTCTTCGATTCGTAATTTCTATATTATTAATGTAGTCCAGACCAAATTTAGAAAATCACACCCACCAACAATTCTCTTCTGCTTTCCCAGGATTTTGGTGCGTGGGGACGTCTGGTGCAGCTGATCGGGCCATATCTCCACGGACTGACCGCTCATGGGCGTTGATTTGCTGCAATTATTTTTTGTTAGTTATGTCTGTCTTTTTATATTATTGAATATAAAATAGAAGATACTTACAGATTAGAAGAATCGCTGCCTATGGATACTGAGGAACTTGTGGAAAGCTGATGGGCTGACCGGGAGCCCATGGGCGGCTGTAACATTTAATACTTAATTTTCTACAATTCAATTGGTTGCCAAGTCTTATATGACTGGGAGTTCTATTAACAAATAAATCAAAAAAGTTGTCACTAAAAATTGTTCGTGTCAATAGAGGATTCATCGAGGACAACTTTAAAAATAGCTGTGACTAATAGGAGCGAAAAAACAACGCGAAATGTAAAAAAGGGGGAAAATTAAACATATTTGTGGTTTTTCACTGCGTGCGCTGCAAAATCGGTCCAAAATGTCCGCGGTAGAATATGCTTATGCTTTAAGGTTACCTTACAAGAACGTCAGGATGCGACCGATATCGCCGGTAACAGCGTAATAAGTATGAGGTTTGCAAAATGAAATTTGGATCCGCGAAGTAACTATTTTACGCGGACGAAGTCGCTAACACAGCTAGTGTACTATATTTATATAGTATTCAGATTTAGAATTGTTGAAATAATTATTATTTTAGAAACATTAAAATATACTAACAATTTTATTGAGCGTCGGATAGGCGATGACAGTGTGTGCTTCTATTCGGGGCGTGTCCTCGTAGTGGGACGGTTCGTCGAAGGAGCCCTGAAATTACATATGATTTCAGATATAAACAGATGTATGTCTTATAATTCGATGCCTATCGGGTCCGACATTTTTCTAATTAATTTATAATAGCTCTGGAACATGTACAATTTAGAAATTCCGTCGGGTTCGCGAATCATAGATGAAAAAATCGTGAACTTTAATCGCGTTTCTGTGTCAATCTGTGCATTTTAAAATATTGAATGCTAAAATAGGCCGCCACCTCATCTGGCTGGGATACTAAAACTATATCAAGATACGGGCATGCTTCTCTGTCCTCCTCTATCATATAAAAGAAAATTAAGATGTTGATAATTTTGCATATATATGTATATATATATATCAAGACAAATCATGTATACACTCTGTACGATATAACAGACCGGCGCGGTGCTGCCATGCACAGTTGTGTCGGATTTGTCACTTGTCTCCGGAATTGCGATCAGCTCGCTTTCGGAAGATTCTTGTTCCACACTCCACTGCTTATATCTGTCGAAGTATTGAGGAAGTAAGTTATCTATGGATTATATTACAAGTTAAAAATATCACAGCTGAAACTCGAAATTATGAAAAGCAAAGTGTCCAGATAAATTTATAATGTTTATTACAGATAACCAAAACCTGACTTATATTTTTTAGTAACAAATAAATATCTATAACATACTTGACAGGCTCGGTTGGTTCGGTCCAATGCGCGGGAGACTTTTGTGCAGTACTTGCCTCTTCGGGCTTCATTGGCGCTTCACGTGTCTCTGGCACGCAAACTGATAGAAATATATATTAATAACTAATCGTCTTATTTTATTTCTATAAAAATCAGCATAGTCCCTTAATGAGTCATATACGCAGATTTTGCTTTTATGAAATAATGAAATACGGTATTTTTTAATTCTAAGCTATTCTAGGAAGTTTATTTTTAAAACACTACTTTTGAATCATTTTATATAGTCGTAATAATTTAATTATTAGACAGGCCCACTGAGCTATTTATTAGCCTAGGCCAGCTAAGATTTTATATTTGTCCTATTATAGTATGTCTTAATTTATATGTTGTACCTGGTGCAGGAGGTTGCATTCGGTGATGAGGAGGCGGTATGCGACGACAACGATGGTGTTGGGCTTCCACGCAGTTTAACACGACACGCACCAACCAACTACTCAGCGAGCAGACCACGCCACTGCTGTAGTGGTACTGCAGACACACGCCAGTAAGTAAACCGAGTACCGCATATAATTTCATATTACTTATTCTGCTCCCTCAAAAGATTACATATACAATATACTAGCTGTGACTTCGCTCGCGTAGTTATTTTGGCCTTCAAAATTTGTTTTTGCAAACCTCCTGTTCAATTCTATAAATTTAACTGTTACCCACGACGTCATCCACGTTCCGTCGTTCTTGCAAATTAATTTTAAAACATAGACATAGGAATTTTTTACATCACTTAAGGAGGAATCTTGTACCGTTTCCGTAACGCACGCAACAAGAAAAATTCTTGGCACATAGTCGCTCGTAATGTTGTTAAATAGCCTAAAGCCTTCCTCGATAAATGCTCTAACCAACACAAAATATTTAAATAAAACATTTAACACAGCCGTGGTCACGGGGAGACACGCTGCTCAAAGCATCAATCGGCCAAGTTAAAAATATTTTCAAATAAGTTTAACAATATATCGCGTTTTAAACCGTTACAGTGTTTTATTTAAATGTGTACTACTCGCGTAAACTATAGACAGTATTCAACACAAAATACTTTTTCAATTCGAACCAGTCGTTCCTGGGATTAGGGCGTTCAAACAAACAGACTCTTCAGCTATTAGTATAGATTTACTAAGCATTCAAAAAAAATACAGTTATATGAACAATTTTTTTATGTAGGACCCAATTACTGATGCACACAGCATTGTCATGTCATGTAATTTTTGTCATTAAAAAAAGATAAGTAGTGTTGCGCTATATCACGTATTCGTTGAAAACTATAATCAATTAATTTCAGAGACAGAGAAATTGAAATTTATTATAGTACCAGTTACTGACATAAATGAATAAAAATGGAGAAGAAATGGGAAATCTTTTTTTGTTGTAAATCAAGTGGGCTTGTAATGAAGTTTCGGTGGAAGAAAATTTAATTTCTAACGTATACCTTATAAAGAACCACCAAGAGTGCCATTAACCAATGTCTTCGAACGTGAGGCTGTAAAGCTTCCAGGGAATGAGTGACAGCGGGATTGCTAGGCGACCCAGCTGTTGGCACACCCCCAAAACCCCCCGCGCTATTCACAGACGGGCGGCAGCAGTACTAAAATATGAATAAGGATTATTATATTGATCAAAAAATCTATTTAGTTTGAAAAGAATTTATGACACGGGCGAGATTTGAACCGGCATTCACAACGATCCGTGCTGCTTACTCTAAACGGTCACGGTAGCTTAATTGGTTGGGAAGAGTTTTTTTTTAATATAACTAGACTTTGTCTTTGACATGTGATATTTTTTAAGTTTTCAAAGGTATATAGTAAGAAATCGAATACAAAGTTTATTAATGTGACGTGTTTTATGTGTAAAATTTACCTGAAGTAATAAAAGAGTTGGTTCGGCGATACTAGCGCCCATCAAATAATTCTGGTCGAGAACTTGCGGCAAATTCGCCATAAACGCGTTAAAAATGGACGACATCCTGAAAATATAGTTAACATAAATAAAACATACTTAAATACTGTCTGTAATCACAAGGTAACAATTAATAATTTCTGATAGTGCAGGATATAGAAAAAAAATGGACACTTCAAATTTACTAGCATCTTTTACACGTTGTCAAAAACTCACCGTAGTGTTTGGGGTGAGATGGTGAAGTACTTCTCAACGCAATTGTACCCGAGCAACAAGAAAAGGTGTTTCAACACTAGGTCTTGCGTTTTGTTGTTGTTCGTCTTTTCGTCGCTAGGGTGCGCTTGGTCCGACCTGAAATATTCAATTGATGACCAAATCGAAGTTATTAGTGACGACGAATGGCTACACAATTACCAGCACATTTAAATAATCTTTTGAAACGCTTTCCTAATCTAATATGTATTTAGTTATTTTCTTTTTGGTTAATTATATGTTGCAATAATATCTTACTAAGTATGAATTATTTAATCTTTTTCGTATTTTTTTTTATATAATAACATCAAGTTTTTTTTATCGTTACCTGGATAAGAACTGCATTAGAAGAAAGACCAATAAGTTAGTAGTCTCCTTGTCGGCCTCTTCGAGGTCCACCGTTTTGGGCATCACCGTGTTGGCAGTCTCTTCTGTTGAACGACCCGACACTGAGTTAATCCTTTCTGAAGGTCGAGTAACTAAGGCGATGAGCGGTTTCGGATTTTGGTTAAGAAAGCAATCACAATTACAGTTCCTATCTTCCACCCGCCTGAACATATGGTTGTATAACATGCATTTTTTAAAGAAAAAAGAATCGCAAACTTAACGTGATGGAATTTAAATAGTACCGTGTGCATTATTAGTTTTCTGGGAGGTGGAAGACTGCTGTGGTGTCGGCAGAAGTTGGCCGAGCCCAAAACGAGATGTTTTGCGTTTTAGAAGTGGCGCAGAGTACTGACGAGAGTAGATTTTCTCCCGTTCTGAAAGAAATTAATATTTTACATAAATAAAACAAATTAGTAATATTTATGGCGATCTGAGCTAATCTGTATTCTGTCTGACAAAAAAGCCCATATAATTAACATCTTAAAAAATCATTAAAATGTATATTTTAGAAGTAAAACATTCCCATTTATATGTATATCTCATTGTTTCGTTAACCATTAAAGTTTAGTATTGTTGTTTACTTAATAATTGAATATGTACATTATTAGAGAAAATACATTCTTCAAACAGTGAGTTTAAACAAAAATCGTTGAAATAATCACCAGCTGGTTGTGGGGGTACAGCAGCGGGAGCAGATATGGTCCGTTTGTACGGCCACTTGGCTCCGAACGATGCGGAGAGGGACCGAGCGTGTCCGTGGGCGGGAGCGTGTCCATGGGCGGTACTGTGAGGTGAACGCGCCGCAGCGCTAAGAGCATCGTGCGCACGTCGCACTTTGTATAAAAACCACTCTGAACTTGTCGAGCTACTTACCAATTCTGCAAATATAAGTATAATTATTAAAAATGTACAAACAAAATATAAATAAATCATTCTTTGTTGTCAAAAACAAGAGACAGCACATAATACAAAATAAAATTGACTACTACGGACAAACGATCTTAAAAATCCATTTTAAAAACGATTTTGAAAATCAATTGAAACATATTTGAATTATTTACATTTATAACATTTTTTAAACGTACCATACTAAAGCAATATTTGTGCAAGAACATGGCAATAATGTTACAATAGATATATATATATAAATAAAACAATGTTAACGTTAAAACTGTTTTGTGATTATTAAAATATGCATACTACATACAAATTAATTTTAAGTATTGTTTCAATAAACATTTCATAATACGCAACCTCTTGAAAATAACGTTATGAACTACATTTGTAGTTGTTATCGAGATGAACATTAAAATATAATTAAAAAAAAAACAATTAACTCATGAAATAATAACTAATAGATGCGAAAAACTTACCTCGTAAATTCGAGAAGTCGACTGATTTGTTCGAATTGATCTGTGCCTCAAGAAATAGCGCTTCAAAGCGATTCAGGAAGAATTCCCAAGTCAATATTCTTCGGTCGCTTAGCGTGTTGTGCAGTTGGTAGATCGACTGAAGAATCATTGGTCTGTCTACTATCACCAAGTCGAACTGAGTTTCCAAACAGTACAGTAAAAGCTAAAAAGAAAATAAATACATTTTGATGTAATTTATAGATAGAAAAACTAAACAGGGAAATAATAAACGATATTTGGACAACTACAGTTTTTAATGATTTTTAATTATAACAATTTTAAACGGTTTTCGTGTATTATATTAATTAACTTGTCACGTGACTATGGCCGCTGCAAGGCAACCAAACTACGTGTAGTAAATACAACAAGTCCAAAATCAGGTAAATCATACATTTTACGCCGTTAAAAGTGTTTTATTTAAATTTGTAATATTCGGAAAAGTCGGACAGTAAATACATTTTTCGATATTTCCTTAAAAATATATTTCCACCATTTTTACCTTACATAGGCTTTGTACTTTCATAAATAGTTTTCCTTCTGACATTTTTTCTAGTCTAGCTAATTGTAGTCTTACATAACCCCTCATAAAACGAATAGACAAATTAGATATCTATGAACAAAGTAAAAAATGTTTATGGATTTTATTTACCTCAATAGCGTTATCATGTATCGTCCCAATATATAAAGTTGCGCGCTGTGCCACGTACACGTTGATATCATCCATACTTGAAATGAGATAACAGAAGGCCGTCGCAAGAGCAGTTTGAAGGGGCAGACTAGTCTTGACCGGAGATCCGTCCATAAATCTGAAATGGATTTTTTGAATTAATAAATAGATAAATGTGAATTAAGTAGTAATAGTTATCTCTAGTTAACATGGGTAATATTCATTTAAATTAACGGTTTAAACGCGAAATATATTAGCTAAACTTTTCTAATTTCATTAATTTTAACTACGTTTTGGTCTTTGGAGACATCCCCCCATCTTCAGTCAACTCTTGACTACGGCTGCTGCCGAGATCCCAAAATGTCAAACCGTAGTTAAAAAAACTTTTTTTTAAACCGTTAAAACTGTTTAATTCAAATTGTAGATTTACCTTAAAAGTTCGTATACTTTCATATGCCTGATCTGATACTGACACATGTTATCAAATGTTTGTTACAAATTTTTCAAACATCTTTTTAACTAAAGACCACGTATGAGAATGTACACAAAGTTTTTCGTGCACTACTAGGGATTAAAATACGCGACCTCAGAAATAAATGTCGTGTACACACACACCACACGGCTCTCAAAATGCATGGATTATTTAGAAGGTGTAAACGTCATAATTACCGTATAAGCATAGTGACTCGTTCGACGGCAGTGAAGCGTTTCTGCTCATCCGCATGATGGAAGCTATCTCTGACGAGAGCGCAAAGGACATCAGCGCCACCTGCCAGCGTGACGCAGTGTAGAAGTATTGGGACTGCAACGGAGCATATGTGCGACTGCGCAGCGTCACACACGTTCCAGAGACTGACAAACGAATATGTTAAGTATTATCTGTGTGTGAGTATATACAGGAGTATAAATAACACACTGTTACGGTTTGAAACGCGAAATATAGTAGTTAAACTTATTCTTTTCCTTATTTGATATATGGTATCTCTAATTTCAAAGTCAAATCTGCTACGCTAGCGCCATCTTTTTTGGATAAGCTAAGTAAGTAATAAGTTTACCTAATTGTTTTTCGCGTTATAACCCGTTATAGGTGTATATATACTTTTTCTTGTTATCAAGAATTAGTTCTATTTTTGAAAGAAATATTTTGTTTTTGTTCATGTACTGTAAATAAAAAAAGTGATTATTTTATATAAATGTTCTATAATAAAATTATTCACTTGTCAATTAGAAGATTTTCCTGACACCAGATCAGAAATCCCTTATGTTCAGCCAATGCATCTGTGTTTAGAACAAGTACTTGAAGGCATTGCAGGAGATAGTAGAGGACATCGGGCCTTGTTGTGTTCTTCAACTCCTAGAAAAGAACAATATCAGTACAGAAATAAAAAACAATGATGAATGATATAATATAATTTATACAGAACTGTGTTTGATCAAAGATTTTTAACATTATTCAAGAAGGTTAACTTGATTCGTTTTTCAATTTCGTCTAATAGCTCAAAAACCCAAGTTACTTTGCAAAAAAGCCACTAAATCTTTATACAATTTAAAAGATATTGTTATATATTTGAATTAATTAAAAAATCGCCATATATTTTCCATAATGGCATTAATTACTAATTAAAAAATAGTTTAACATAATGATAAAAAAAATAATAAAAATATAATAGTTTAATAAATTTAAAAAATTGCGACTCACACAGGACTTGAACCGGCATTGTCTGCGTTCCGTGCTTGCTCAGAGCAACGCTGACGATGCCGGTTCAAGACCTGCCCGAGTAAAATATTAAAGTTTCCAAACAAAAAAACAATGAAATTAAACATTGAGCAAATTAATGATTCTAATGTACTTGTAACAATTGATGTATGTACTGCAACTCCTGTGGCAACTCTTCAATGCAGAAGTGGAACCGTCCAGCTGATGTCGGCCAAAAGTTCGTGATGTCATCGTCCACAGACTCTGTTTCGTGCTCGCCTAAAAGATTTGGCGTCGACACCTGAAAACATACGATAACCCTGAAAGGTATTGGCCAAGTTGAACAGCCTTCTTTACCATAGGGACCGAAAAAACTAGATATTTTTATTGAATGTATTGTCTATTATATTATGTGAATGTGAAAAGAAGACTAAATGCCTTAAGTTTATAACAACGAACGTTAAATGCAGTAGAAATGATAGTATAAAAATAAAAGATGACGAAATAGGTTTTGTTTTGTGTATAACTCTCGATTGTAAACTCCAGTGGGGACATGGGTGTTCGGAAAACCGGTATTTTCGGATAAATGAACTACCTGTATATTGATTCAGACATACATATTTACGTATATCTTTAATAACAAATATGAAATAAACAGAAAAAGTGCAGATATGTAATCTTATAGTAAAACATGTGTACTAGGTACCATTAATGCTTAAAAACTACTTGAATTTTCGTCTGCTGAAGCATGCCTACCCGCTTACGAGCGGCTAGATCACGTATTTTTTATTTAAGAACAGATATTTGATACTGGTCGCTTTTAGCCTGTGTTTCAAACCAACGCAAGGCAATCTAAGCCAGTAAATGCTTCAGAGGCACTCACTACGTTTTCATCTTCATTATCTGAACTTGTAGTTGATGATCTGATGTGGTGCTAGCGGTGGGGTCGGCCTTATTAGTCATGAGGTCTAAAACGTCGCTAAAATCCTGCATAATTTGGTACCCGGGATCTTCTAATAAATTAAAACGAATATTTCACTAATCAGTTTTATCTGGATTATAACCGGAATATTTTATTTTTCTCCGGAATTAGAATCCAGGATATATCGCGCCTAGCGCCATGCACGTTTAAACAATTTAGCTTTCATTCTTGGAATCTGAAGAGTCTCAATAAATCCTCATTTTACTTTTCTTTCAGTACTTACGTTCGCAGTTGCAGTTGCGACATCTGTGTCCGTGAGTGTCACAGAGTGCGCGATAGCCGCAGGCGGCTGTTCGGCAGGTGGTAAGGACACAGCCATATCCAGCTGTTCAGTTATGGTTTCCACTGTCGCTGTCATTATCTACAGACACAATAAATATTAGGAAATACCTTTTAAAGGAATAAGCTATAATAGCTTTCAAAGCTACTTTATGTGGCGTTACAGCTTGTCGGTAGATTGCCATCGCACTTTGCACCTTCCAAGCTGTTGCACGTAAGCACAACCAACATTCAGCCATTCAAGCAGAAGTTACAGCTTACATAATTGCAGTTACATAATCAAACTTACCAATCATTGTTGTCGAGGCTTTAAATTCAATAGTATAAGTAACTTAAATCTATTCTGTATAACGCCTAAACAAAACATTTATTTAGATGTGTGATTTAGAAGCTTTGATTACGTACAATGTCTACAAGGTAAGAAACAAACACACCGCCATAGCACTAATACAAAAGCGGAAAAGAGAGGAAAGTTAAGAAAGACAGATATAGACATACTTGCGTGTCGCCTGAGGACTTAGTGAGAGAGGCGTCCGAGCCGACGTCGCTTATTAAGGAGAGTTGCATGAAATGAACAAACTATACATCTATTACATTTAGCCCTATTCACCTTGACCGAGGGTACATTAATAAATACCTGTGTTAAACTTCTGTTATTTCTTGCGAAGGGAAGAATTTTTACACCCTAATAAAATTACAGTATAAGGAAATCAAAATTGGTTTTAAAAATAAGGTAAATTCATAACCCAGAATATGATAATTTTAAAGATCTGATGAACGAAGCAGTTCAAAGTTTTGTTTCGTCTTGGAATCTATTGTTTAAGAGTTTTAAAAAATTGGAGACTATTTTTTCCATACAGTTATTGCATTAGAATTTACCAAAAGGTAAATCTGTAAAATCATACGAAATATTAACAAAACTGGAATTGCAATTATAAATTTATTTTTAAATTAGAGTTGGGCTTAATTCTTACGTATACAAGTTGTTCAATATTACTCGATTAAATATGTCATTCCTTTGGTTTCAATAGGGCTACATGGTCTACATTTATAGCACACTGCGGATTGTAAATTACAACTAAAGAAACACTAAAATACATAGAACATTCAGTATGGAAGATATGTATATATTTATTATTTATTTTAATTAATCTTCATAAAAGCATTGATCTACTACCAACATATGTACAAAATGTATGAATGAGTAGATTCGAACATTTTTTACAAAAGATTTTCATGCTTCTTTTTTAATGGAATACCTATAATCTTGTACGATCTTTTGTTTTATTGTTTTTAGAACATGCAGTATTTAAACGTTTATTAGTTAGTTCCCAATGTACATGGACGTAAATAAACAGTAAGGCTGACGGAATATAATTTTTTACTACTTACTAACAATTTAACGTGCAGGAGAAGCTCTTAATCTTAACGTTATCAGTATTAAGTATAAGTGTGGAAATAGTAAAACAGTCAGACATTTTTAAAATAATAATTGATTTAAAACGCAATTTTTTTTTTCTAAATATTTGTCACGTGACACAAAACGCTCCTGATTGGTCAGGTTTCTGGCGGCGTCACTTGCTTATAAACCACCGTGCTTCTTAGTGTTAAAACTAAGAAATAAATAATCTGTCTTATTATATTACTTCAATCACTGTTGAAATGTAAATGTTTGGTACAAATGCACGTACATTGTAGATCATACCATCGACATACACCAATGGCCAATATAAGGTCGTGACGTCACTAGCCGTATTGCAGCGTTATTTCGCGATCTTGGCGTTTAGGCGCGCAATTTAAATGTTGAATTTTCAATTTGATATACTTCATCAAATATGTACCAGAATTCAAAAATCCTTTTCTGGGGTTCCTTAATATTTAAAAATCAGGTAAATAGCCCACAGACAAGGAGATATATCCAAGATATGTCCAACCTCTATTTGAAATTATATATCTCATATAAATAATAGCCTATAAACTATATAAATTTTTATTAAAATTAAGGTTCAATATCAAACTGTACCTCAAATTGTTCATATAACTACATAGTATTTATTGATATCAGCCATATTGTCAATTCACGTCCATATTCATCATCTATTCGTCCCATTTTACTTACATGCGGCATTTGAGACAGGACTCCGCCGAGGGAGGAGCGCTCCGCGGGATGTTGCGCGGGAGCAGCTGCAGCAGGATGCCGACGCGAATCATCCTCAGCAGATCTCTTCTCTGACCAGGACTCTTCAGTTACCGGCTGAGAGATCAAAAATGAGATACAAAAATTTCTTATGAGAGTTAAAATCGAATAATAATTAGAAAAAAAATTACGACACAGGCAGGACTTGAACCGGCATCTAGTGTGGCATGCTTAAACCAATGGAGCTACCGTATCGTACACGTTATCGTAACATTTTTTCAATCTATTGATGCACCTCTCGCGCAATTAAATTTCAACATTAAACCTTTTTATTAAGGTTTAATAAATTATTAAGGTTTAATATCTAATAAATAGTTAGTACATATACTGTAGTAAAAAAAATAAGTTTAATAACCGACTTTTAGTTTTAGTTTAGTTTTTAAAATATAATAATTAAGATAAAATAATTTAGAATTTTTAAGATAAACCCTACGTTAATATTTACAGAACTATTATAATTTGCATTGCGTCACAATCACCTCGAGTCCAGGTATGGTGTGCGCATACGCATGTGGCTGATCGGGCAGCAAAGTGCGCACGAGCTGCACGGCTAACTGGTGGCACAATGAAGCCGCACTGCAGTACGAGCACGATACTCCCCACATACAGACAGCTATGGTCACAAAGCATATTAGCTTAAAAAATAAATAAGCACAAAAAAAGAGTAATTATTTTAAAATTAAAGGCCAGTTTTGTTGTAATGTGCAAATGTAACTGATTAATATTTTCTTACAGTGCTCGATCGTGTTCAGCTGGTTGGATTTAAGCATAAGACGCAACAGCTTCGTGGCTTCGCTGCTTACGTTCTGTATATTCATTCTGTGATGCTGCAACTCCATCTTAAATGGTCAGATATTTATTTTTAATACATATTACAAAAAGCTTTGATTGTTTACAAAGGTTGCCTGAAAGAAACTTTTATTGAAAATATAAGCGAATTAACCTGTTTAAGTAGAATATCCAACATGAGAATACAGCAGGTTAAGTTTTGGGGTTTCATCTGGTCATCATCTTTGTCATCGGGAGGAGACTCAGTCGATTCTTCTTTTGGCTTCGTACACTCTGTGAAATAGATGTAATGTTAATCAATAAATGATAACATAACTGCTGTGTTTGGATAATTTTCGGTTGAATTTATACCTGGTTGTGGTTTAAATATTTTTTCGGGCAAGTTGATGACGCAGTGGCTAAACAATTCGAATAGATTTGTCAGCGGTATCTTCACATCTAGCAAAGAGATTGTCTGAAAAAAAACATTGTCATAGATTCAAACTGACTGTAGCCCTAATTCAATAAGATATAAGATTTTTTACATTAAAGTAATAAGGGCACAAAAATGCCCGATAAAAGATTACATACTTGAAACCATTCAAGTACTGGCAACACAGTATCTGGGCGTGGCTTATCGGTGACTTTGAGTGTTGCAAAGTTGTACAAGTTTATTTCATCGCCGCCTACCGCGGTGCCGTCTGGCTCCAGTATTTTTGCGACCGGGACTTTTAGTTCCATCAACTCCTACGGTTTTAAGAGAAATAGTACGTTATTAATATCACTTTTAATCAGTAAAATCCTAGGATATCAAATATATACTGTGTGTAGTTTGTAGAGACGTACACAACTAAATAAAATACTGATGACGGTTTAAAAGGCGAAATTTAAATTAGTTAAACTTTACAAAATTAATTTAACTACTCTCCGAGGTTTCGGATACTTTGTAGTAGCCGTTACACGCTTAAAATTATTTTATTCAAATCGTAAGATATCTTTTAGCAGAATAGCTTTTCATATTTAGCCGAAATAAATTGTATAAACTCATTCTCATTTCGTTTAAACACAAATGACATAGTTATCTGGATTATTGTACTTATACTATACGCCACCTTTTCTGGTACATCAGTGCATATTGCCTCCATCCATGCTGGCATTATTTGATCCCAGATGGATTGTGTGATGATCCCGTATGGTATCAAGCAATATAGCCTGGAAGACAAACATATATCTTTTATATCCTTGTTCTAAAGTGCTTTTACTGATTTTTGAAATAGTAGTTACTATACTCCAGATATACCTATTAAGCCCGTCTCGTAGATGGTGAGCGCGCGACGCAAGTGTGTCCCAATGCCCCGCTTGTCTTGTGTGGTGGGGCGGATGGGGCAGAAGACACGACACGAGGACACGTCTTCGTGTTTCAGCAAGGGAACGCACCCAAGCACATACATGCTCCCACTTGAGCTTTTCCACTGTGTTCGCTATCTCTCCTGAAAATGTGTTTAAATTATAACCATCGATCAATAGAGGTTAAGTATGAAACGAAAGAGGTTATTTTAAAAACTACCGATTCGAATGGAAAATATATTACATTTTACAAAACACATACATAACTTATGACGGTAAATTTATATATATTAATACTTTAATAAAAGTATAAGACACATAGGAGTAAGCACTCGGCTCGTTCTTCACGGCTAAAGGATTGATCGTAAAGTGCCAGTTTTAACTGCCCTGGGGGGTAAGATGTAACTGTCAAACTACTTAGTTTGTAGTTTCAATACATTCAATACAAACATCCAAATTATTAAAAAACATAGAATAACAAATTTACTTTAAAAGCTAAATTACTTGCCCGTATAAGAGAATGATGTAACATGGAACCAATGGAAGAGTACTGAAAGTAATCTCCCCAGCACCTCGTCAGGTGTGTCAGGATTGGGAGTACACAGACCCACCATCAACCATACGCCGTATCTGATATTAAGCATCGTTTCAAAGATAAATAGGAGTTTTACTATTTAGAAACACAATTAAAGATACATTTTTGTCAAATATTTACCTGCCGAGTAGTTGACGGTCCTCCACAGAAATAGGATCAGGCAATTTGACACTCAAAGGAGACTTATTCAGCTCCGCTGAGCTGTCAGGATCTTCCATGTTTATAGGTTTTGCTTCTTTCAGGAGACTGCAATTATCTTAATTAAACTACATTGCGGGGCAATTCGAATATTGTACCAATTTACAACATTTTTTTTTATCGATAGAAGTAGAATTATCCACGTATACATCACCTAATAATCGCCTCAACCAGGTTGGTCTGCATGTCACTGTCCATCTGCCAAGCGGGAGGCAAGCGCGTGTGAAGCACGTGGTCCCCACCACGCCGGCTATTGTGCCGGTTTCCGTGACATTGCTGACAGTATCTACCCACAAAAATTGTTCCTTCATCTGTACCAGTTAAATAAACTGTATTGTTATTTGGGTTTTTGAGCTGACCAAGGTCGAACAGCACGAAAACCTAAATAGCCTTTCAAAATACGGGCTAAAGGGTAAACAATTACTGATTGTTCCGTATTTGTGAATCTTAGTAAAATTTTGGCATTATTGGATGTACCTGATGGGATGATTCCCATTGTAACTTGCGCATTCGTTTGAAAAGCAAATTGAATACGCCGCTTTATCAGTTGATCTGCAGTTCTGAAAAAAGTATTTACTCATTAAATACTCTGTTATATAGATAAGTTTAATGTGACCTTAATTGTTAATTATTAATAAGGTTTCAATTCCTTCCCACCTTATTTTCACACACCATCGAAACTTGCTGCTGAGGATGGAGTATATCAAAGAAACGTTGATTAGGATGCTCCCTGTAAAATTGAATTAATTATATTAGTTTCGGTCTTGGAACCACAAATGTTAGGCACATTGCACTGCAGAAGAAGATGACTACCATAAATAGAGCCTCCATGCCGTACCATGAATGTAAAAAATCGAGTCAAGAACGAGTCAAAAAAAGAAACTTGCATTTTAAAAATGTTATTCTATTATTTTTTTGTAAGCGTGTAAGAATATATTACATAGCACAAACATACCTAAAATGTTTAATAATATATGTAAAAATACGTAGAGCTCTTTCGGCTTGAAAGACCAATACTTCAAAAATACCTGTGTATTTCGTTAGCACATTCTATACACAAGTAGAGGGGTGGTGGCGTATCTGAAGCAAAGGTGACGCTGATGCAGTGGTCGTAGCAAACCTTCGCTGCTTCAGCAGAACCTGCGTTGGGACACATGTCACGCTGACAGAAGAATGGAACCAGGTCATCTGTAATTATAAATGATAAATCTGTAAACAATGTTAGTCTTAGATACACGCTCTTCTCAAATAAAATACGAACCAAATATTAACAGCCATTACATACTATTGGAAAATAAGCAAATAAAGGGAAGAAACGAAAACTTACTAAGAAAGTCGCTTCACAGGTACACGCCATCTACTACACATCTAAAGCTAAAAACCAAGAAATGAATATTTAGTAAACGGAAAAAACAAACATTTAATTCACTTCCACATTAAAAGAAAACAAACATTTTAAGAAAGAGAATAAAACGTACTACATTTAAACTTTTATACGCCCCCCTTACTCTAATAGTCCCACTATCTGAATGTATAACATTTGTAGGTATATAACCTTCAATAGTAAAACAGTTGAAATGGATTACATCTGGCTTTATGTGGATGATTTCTAGCGATTTAATAAAAAGTATGATTTATTTACTGGAGAATTTACAGAGCAGCCCCTTTCTGTCGAAGAGTTTGGCATCGAAGGGGGGCCAATAGTAGAAGAGCAGCTTGGCGGCAGATAAGCGTGCTCCACATGTGCCGTACGCGATAACACACAGTACATCCTTCACAACGGATTGCTTCATTGACATCAGGCACTCAAGCAGTTGGCAGTGATGTGCTGAAATTGAAAGATTGAGATAAACACGTAATTTTAATTATTTTATATTATATTTAATCTCATAATATATCAATAAATAAAGGTACGACGTAGTTTATTATAGACTAGCTGTGCCCGCGGTTTCGTCCGCGTCGAACAGTGACATGTGGTAGAATTTTTAATTATTTAGGCTGTTTATTAATTTATGTAAGGGCGCATTTAGGGCAGCCAATCTATGTTGTACGTGCAACTTCGCCGCAACACTCTCACCTCACATCACTCCTACTCTAACTCCCAGTCTCATTCCTACACTTACTCTCCCTTCCACTCCCACTCGCACTCCCACTCCACTCCTATTCCCAAAAAGCGAAAGAAGAAAGTTTCAGTGTTCTAGCTTCAAAAACCACGTATTTCCATACAAACTTTCAACCCCTATCAACCCTCATTTGGGATTAAAAAGTAGCCTATGCCCTTTCTCAGGCTCTAAAATATCTATTTAACAAATTTCATTGAAATCAGTTCAGTAGTTTCGGAGTTAAAGCTGGACAGATAGACAGAGTTACTTCCGCATTTATAATATTATTAAAATATATAATTTATTTAAATAAAAATGTATAAATGGAATGGATAACAAGGTTTGATTTTGTTCGGCATTTCTATCAATTTGTTAAAAGTAAAAAAGTAGTTATAGTGACGTAATAATTAGAAATAAGTATGGTCTCGCGATGTTTTTTGTAGATATTTATATATTCTATAATATTGTAAAACATTTTTTGTATGTATGTATACGTATCTGAAACCTACAGAGATGAAAAATTTCCCCCCGTTTTGTTCACATTTCTCGCTGTATCTTCGCTCCTATTAGTCACATCGCAATGTGTTATAGCCTATAACCTATTCCTCGATAGATGCTCTAACCAACACAAAAATGTTAAAATTGAACTCGTAGTTCCTGAGATTAGCGTGTTACCCACGACGTCTCGCTAGTTAATCTTAAAAGATAGACATATAAGTCGCAGAGATTTTTTTAAATAACTTAAAAAATCGTTCATTCATACATATTTCTTGAACCGTTACCGCAGCACGTGTAGGTAATGGAGACCCTCAAAAATAAGTACATTTCACATTTTTTCCACATTGCCCACTGTGCCTTCGCTCCTATTAGTTGCATCGTTATGTTTTAGCCAAAAGCCTTCCTCAATGCTCTCACAAACACAAGAATTGTTCAATTCAACCCAGTACTTCCTGAGATTAGCACGTTCAAATAAACTGTTCAGCTTTATATATTAGTATTAATAAAAGTAAATAGTACCTGGATTAGTCGAATGTTGGAATACCATCATGATAACCGCACCGACTGATTGTGAAGCTTCACTCTCCTCTTCCATACTTGCATATCGACGAGCTGTAATATTATTATACATTTTAAGTTTAAAAATAATTACACATTAAAATATTTATAAATTGATCAAGCGTGATTGTATATACAGGAACTAAAAATAAATAAAACGTTAAAAAGTATTATTTAAGTATTAACTATAAGTTCAAAGTTAAAGTATAGCTTACTGATGGTGAATGGCAGTATATAGTAGCAGAGTAGATGAAGTATGTCCTGATGTAAATTGGCCGGGAACATAGCAACACAATATGCCACCAAATACGGCAGGTTATCGATCATATCGTACTCGAGGAACGGCATCAGACAACCCAGGCATTGCAGAACGGCTTGTCCGAAGGCTGCAAGAATACCTCGTTTATACTTTCTGGAAGCTTCGATAAATATATTTTTTAATTGTTTTCATTCCACCTTGTATGCCATATTGCAAATGTGGAGCAGAGTCGACGAGTTGCGACAACGCGTTGAAGAGCCCTTTGTAATCAAGGTTGGGGTAGAGGCCCATACGTTCAGCATCGTTGTCAGCATCTCTCATCATTTCTAATGGAGATTTCGGTACATCTTTCAGTACGCCTGTAGAATAAAAATGTTTTACATACTAATAGAATAGTACATATTATTTGTAATCAGCTTATTCAATAATTATTATTTAGACAGATGAAACGGAAATATGGGTCGGCTCAAATTTTTAGCGAAGATCAACTAATTAGAAATTAAAATTAACTATGACAACTAAGAAAAATTAATTAACAATTAAATCTTTATCTCTAAACTAAATTCTAGGCCGTCTTGGCAATATTTTTTTACGCCGGAAAACATAGAGCATTTGAACATCGACGTTTGTGCATATGTCGCTTGCGAATAAGAATTAGAAGAAATGATTTCGTATGTAGTTTTTTTTAATTTTTTTCATCAAACTTAAAATGGAGAATCCCTTCGTTACGTGACGTGTTAAGGCGCCTAGTTGACAGGTTTTTAATTTTAAAATTCATTTATTCAACATAGCCACTCCTTGATCACTTCTGTCGGCCATCCTGATATGCAAACTTCAGTTTACCATGTTATCATTTACAAGTTATACTCACTGAGAAGTGTCTGCGAGAAGTATTTAACGGTGTTGGCGATGTCGATACCCGACGGCAGAGGTTGAATGTTGTGCATCAACCGAAGCTGGCAGTCGTACAAACTGCGGATCTTTGCTGTGACTAAAAAGAACTAGCTTTTATTTTTTTTTAATTATTCATTGCAACATACATAAAGCATTTACATATGTAATCTTAAAATATCATTAATAATACTTTTTAGTATTGTAGTATTGATATAATTTTATCCCTCACAACTGTTGGGGATAAAATTAATATTTCTCCATAAGATTAAAATGGACGGCCTCATCGCTATAAAAGGATCTCTATCAGTCAATCCATGTTCGAAAAAATAAAGATATATATTGATATATTGTGGACACATGGAGACACATTAACAAAAATTGTTAATTAAAAATCCATTATAGCTTGAATAATTTTATGACAAGGGCATGACTTGAACCGGCAGCAACAGCACGGAACGCTTCGGATGCAAATTTTTCAGGTGCTGCCCGTGTGTTTTTTTTTTCAATTTAAAATCTACTTTTAATTTATATAAAGCCATCATGTGCCACATGTGATAAATATTTAAAAAAAAACATGTTAATTCAGTAAATGTTTAAATGATGACGAGGCTAACTGAATGGAGACCAGAAGCAAATTCCATATTCATATTGCAGAGACCCTAAAAAATTACCAAAACAGGAAATATTATGAGGAGGTTTATTTGAACTCGGCATAAAACACCAGTCTCTGTAAGCAGTAAATATCAAAAAGCCCATATTGTATTTCTCCAGCATCCATTATTAAAAGTAAGATGCTAAACATATAAATGCTAAACATATAAAAATAAAAACTTGTAATTGGCCTTCCTGTACCTATTTACTGTTTGTATTTTCATTTGTAGTAGCCGTAAGTTTTTTGTAAAAGAATAAAATAAAATAAAATATATCAAACAATATACAGTACTCAGTTGTAGAGCTGAACAGACATTGGAAGCCAGCTGCCTCCTCTGGAAATCCAGAGGTAGAACCCTTCTTCTCTTTTTACAGCTTCTAGTCTAGCTTCATAAATATTAGCGTTATCAGTATTAGCGATCTAGGAATATCTAAAATTGTATGAAATTTAAGCCGAAGGCTGTACCTAACTAGATAACTACAAAAGCAAGGATATGGTTTGATAGTAGTTAAATTATCATGCACAATAAATTCACAATTAACATAAGTTGGTAAGTTTATCCTACATATGCTAGTAACTGGCTTTTACTTCTTTTATTTCTATATAATGACTAATGATTGTAACTAATGAAAATTAATAAGAATTGTGGCTTATTTATAAGTGATATTAAGTAAAAAGGTAAACATAGAGTGAATCTCCAACTAACCTTGGGCCTGCAATAAAAGAAAGGTGAGCAGCTTAAATGAAAACATGTTTTTAATTGTGTCAATATATTCCCAGCATAAAGAACTGTAATTATTACCGTCTTAAAAATGGTACAATGTCCACAAACATAAATGTAATTCTAACAGTATAACACATATCTGTCACTCATTTGAATACCAATCTCTCCATTACCACACCGAGTACAAACATCTAATTGGGAATCGTGCTGCTTTAGGTCAGGTACACTTAGACAACACCTATAGAATTGTCAACGCTATACTTACAGCACAGTAATAAGGTAAATTTTGAAATGTGCTCAATCATATTCTAAGGAAAGGGAAACAGAATGTGTAATATTTGAGAGTGGAGCTAAGGGTCAGAAAAAAGAATAAGATGACAAGACTAGAAGACGGGAAACAGATAGGCCCACTGGCGAAGCGTAGCGTGCCTCTTGGCTATGTGCAACACCGATAACTAGCTCGGTATACGAGCTCACCTTTCTGATTGAGAGGCTCCAAGGCAAGCTGCATATCGAATTGTTGCGTGGTCTGCATAACGAACACAAAAAGCTTTCACTACGTATAATGCCGCGAACTCTGAAAAATTAAACGCATTAATCGTGCATGCAGTTATTTGAGCTTCGAAGCTTTAGGAAAATTCTTACAGGCGGCCGCCCGGGTCCCCATATTAATCAGCTGTATCTTGAAACTGCCCTGCATTTGTCCTGAGTGACACTCGCGGCAACAACTAATCGATAAAGCTGATACGGACACAGATCGAGTTAGCGCGGTTAGCGGCTGGGCGAAAGAGATGAGGACCTAGATCTAGATTCGCTATTCTCTTCAATCTATCGATTAATTTGTAAATGCGCGCGCAATTTTTATTTTGTTTACTAAATACTATTGACATTTGACATTTACGTCAGACACTAGTTTGACAGTGACATTGAGTTGTGAATTTTTTAAATTAATTCTTGTACGCGACATGGTAATAAGTTTTTTTTGCAAATTGCTGTACCTATTATGTTTATTACACTAAAATATACGATAACAGGATATACGATTTCACTTAATAGGAAAAATAAGCTTCAATTGATAAATAATTAAAAATAGTTTTATTTGAAATATTATAACGCTATATCACAATTAATATGATTCCTTATGGATATTACAAATATTGTTAACAGTTATTTAAAGGATCACAGAAACCATCCACTGCTCAAAAATTTTAGATATTTTTCTTAGATACTATGTACAATGCAAAATATCACGTCCCATATTAAGTTCGCAACGGACCACAATAGACTTTAAAACGAACGACAATGCTCGCTATAGTTTATTGACTTATACCGTTGGCATTGGAAATAAACTGCCTATTATATCATCAACGATCCATCGCGCCGGCCAGCGCTTGCTGTATCACAAGCTGCTGAGCGTTTATTAGTTTTTTCAACTCTCTCACTTCCTGCGTCAGTTGGCGGACATTCTCTGAAGTTTCGTCCAACCTTGCCTGCAGACTTCCCAAGCCCGGTGAATAACCGTATTCCCGATAACTTGAGTCGTTATTATTTTCGTACTTCTTGAAACACGAGTACGCCCCAGTAGTAGAACCGTTAGAAGAAATCGTATGACCATATTGCTTCCTCATTTTAGCGATATCATAAGCCGCCATCATTATATCTCTCGGCAAGCGTTTCTCGCTCGGATTTAAGGGCTTAACACTTAACACGACTCGATAAGCCTGTGGTGAGACGAGGGCAGAAGAATGAAGAATCTTTAAGAGACATTTCGGTAAATAGCCATTAAACAGCGCCAATTCCATATAAGAGATAAGTTTAGTTTGCCGCACCAATTTGGAGAGCCCCGCTGTTTTTCGTAAGCCCTGAATATCGTGGACCGCTATACCGACCAATAGATTCATTAAAACGACCGTGACAAACATAAGGAACAAAACATATGTTATTTGCGCAGAAAATTCCAAAAGGACCGGTGGATCATTACCATCCGGCTCATTCAGCAGTAAATCTAAATTTAGTTCACCGATCATCATTGTTAACACAGTAATAAAGCCCATGAATGGATTAGCGAATGACGACGAATCTGGAAATATGACGCAGAAACTTATGGTGAAGCCAATAAGAATACACGAATACGCCATTAGTAGTTTAGCAAACTCCTTCTGTACTTTCTGATACATTGCCACATAAGTTCCAAAGACAGGTAACTGACCGATCATCATCATTAAATTGGTCCATCCAGCTAGAACAGCAAATGCACCGACATGGTTTTGCCATGTATACGTGATATTGGTATAAATATAAGAAATCAGGAAGACGCTGATTATAACGAACCATTCGATCATATTCTCAGACTGCATTAAGTATTGTTTTACAGTTGAATATCCGGCAATACCATATACCTTCCTGAATATCTCAAATATGGTAATCCCGGCTAACACCCACCATTGCATCTCTATAACAAACGGATTTTTCCTCAGCAGATCTCCAAGTATCGATTGCTTTTGACACAGTTCCTGTTCTTGTATCGTTTCCTCCATATCTTTACTGCCGTTGTAGCAATTATGCGCAAGAGCGGTTAAAACGTAAAGCGTAAGACAAAGTACGAATATGAAACTTAAAAACAGTCGCGCAACATAATATTTTCTTATTTTCTCCCATTTTATGTATAGAAAAGCAGAGCAAAGAGGATGTAAGAGAACTTCCTTTTGACCCTCGTCCACAAACGTGTTCAGGTAACTTATCTCCCGGGGGTAACAATGTTGCAATATGCTGCGAAAGTCAAGTTCAAGTTCGACTTCTCGGTTGCTCGTCTGCGAGTGATGTAACGTGATAGCGCAGTCTAACTTCCTCGTTATCATTGCCAATGAAGCGGGGGTCTTTCGAGCGATCACGTTGAGCGCGGAATTGCCTTTCTTGGAACGCGTTGTTACGTCAGCTCCGTGATAGATTAATGTCTCTACGCAGGCGGATAGTCCGTCGAGGGCAGCCAAGTGCAAAGGTGTGAAGCCGTATTCATCTTTCTGGTTGACGTTGGCTCCCCAACTTATTAGCGTTTCTATTATATCACAGGCGCTGTCAGATTTTCCTATAGCCGCGTGTAGGGGAGTTCTTTTATCAAAGTCCATAGCGTTAGGATCGGCGTTGCCTTTTCTCAGTAACGACTCGACGCATTCTAAACTGGCAGATCTCGCCGCGAGGTGTAATGCCGTGAAACCCCTGTGGTTTTTGAGAGTTGCGTCCGCCCCTTTCGATAGTAAGAGATCAACACACTCTATGAAGCCCCCGTCCGCTGCCAAATGTAACGCCGTAGACTCGCGGTCACCCACTCTCGTTCTGACATTCGGATCCGCTTCTGGTGTATCCAACAATATAGTGAGACATTGTATCATTCCAAGGTCGGCAGCCAAATGTATGGCGTTAGTTCCACCCGGTTCGATCTGATTGACGCTGACTCCATGAGAAATGAACAGCTTAAGACAATCCACGGAATTCGCTCTCACAGCGCAATGTAGTAAGCCGCCTTCGCAGTTTACGTATTTGACGACCGCGTGTACTGACGCACCCCGACTGATTAATAAATTAGCCACTTGCACAGAATTACCGAATGCAGCACAGTGTAGAGGGACAAAACATCTTGGCATATAATTAGGATCCACTCCACATGTTATCAAGTAATTGGCGCAATCTGTCGATCCGCTAAAAGCCGCCGCGTGCAGCGGGGACAGGCCCAGAGCATCAAAATGTAATGGATCGGCCCCGGCTTCCACTAATTGCGCTAATAGCTGGTTTAGCTTAAGGAATGCTGTCCAGAACAAGCAAACATTCCTTTCCGCATCAGAAGTTGAGGTAAATACGTTGACGGCCAGCTCGGTAGTTATTACTCCCGACTCTAATTCATCAAGCAATCTTAGTCGTCCTCCGACAGCGCGCATTTGTTCATAAGCGCTCTGACGTATCGAATCCCCGCAGATATGCGCAGTTAGATCCAGGGGCGGTTCCTCGAAGCTGTCATACATGTTGGGGGCGCTTTCCGCTGGGGGTGACGATCCAGCCAGAACATACTCGAGGTGGCCCATGGAAGGGTACGCTCTTTCGAGAGATTCTTCATCGAGGGGCGAGTTCTGTGCTCGAGGAGGTGGAGCGAGAACCCTGGAGGTTCTTTGGCGACGATCCATGTCGCGCGAAACAGGTCTTTCGGCGACATCTGGCTCTTCGGGGTTTGGTGAACGGCGAGAGCGAAACCACCGCTTGGGGAGAAAGCTGCGCGTTGTGGGCATGCGGGCGGTCGGCGCGGGACTGACTCCTGTGCAGGCATTGTCTGGTAATTGTTGGTCGGATAAATCGCGAGCACCTTCGTCGTTAAGTTGTTTACTCACTGTGTAATTGTTATTTTTATAGACTCTCATAATTTCAAAGTCCAGTTTATCACCATTTTAGGGTGGATTCGGAGCCAAAACTTAAGCATTTTCTTATTTGAAATATAATACTTACTTGGGACAAAGTTAATATGTATATGAATAATACACAATGCCCGGAACTAAGAATGGAGATATTTTTTTTACTGAAATTTAAAGTTACATTAATAAAATGTCATAAAATAAGCAGGGTAGTGTACACTCATCTTAATAGAGAATCAAATGGATTAACAATGGCTCGTCTCGACGTTTGTTCTGTATACTTTTTGCTTATGTTTATACCTCGGTGTTTATTGTAACATACCATCTTTCGTTGTTTAAATGTACTTCAACAGAAACTAAAAAAGATAGTTCTTTATATCTTACAATCTTTATAAACATGTATGTTACTTTTACAACGTTCTTTAACCAACGTTTTATATATCTTTAAGTAACTCATTTTTCTATCCCCTAACGTTTCATACAGATTTGATTTGATTTGTCTTATACAATAAGGAACCCATATATTCAGTATATATTAGTATGGTTGGTATTGTATATTATATATTTTTATAAGATGTAAGTTAATACCTAGTTTAGTTTAGTTGTTTCAGTAGGAACACAGAAACAAGGGAAAAGATGTGTTTTTCATTTGTTATATTTTATATTGCTTTAGCAAACTTTTATTAAAATTATTTCTTACTACCTCCATATGCCTTTTCATTAAGCCCAGTTCGGGTTCCCATTACCTTGAATCACAAACTAATACCGTTACGAATCCATCAACGAACTATAGAAATTAAATTCAATGCAATTGAAAAGCTTATCCAATTTTATTGTGCACATCTAATGCGAATGCTTCCTGCTATTTATTGTCGTGGTAAATCCATAAATGCTGTTTCATGAACATCCATATATTGTAATGATGAACCATTTATAACCAACTGAAAGGTTATGTTCTTTTTTGCAAGATTCCTTACTAGAGGGGAAAGGCTCAACATGTGAAGTCGATAAATATTTGTATAACACTTTAGACCGATCGAAAATTCTTCTATTCATAAGTGTATCTACACTTGGAAAGAACAAACTATTCCAGTGAAATACAAGATTGTTTTACTTTTAGATAATAAAGGCGAAAATTTAACTAGCCTTTCTGCGTTTGAATACTTTAATATTTTTTACATGTATTGAACATGGTGGCACTATACCTAAAGATTACACGTCAAAAATAAGTGAAAATTATTATCTACCAACCAATTGAACTCAAAGCAAGGTAGTTAGAGAAACAGCATGGAACGCTGACGATGCCGGTTCAAGTCCTACCCGAGTCGAAAATTTGTTCAATTTATTTTCGATTTTTTATCTAGATTTTCTTATTTATTAAAGCTGCTATTTTTTTATAAATCTGGTTTTGTCTTATGTATATCCGAAATAAGTTATGGAGTGTCGGCAACATAGTGGACCATATGGTGAGAAGTTCACGAAGATTCCAAAGTAATTACCGAGTAGGAGATATCCTTCCAGTGATTAAGGATGATCATAACAATTGCTCGCTTCCTTTTCCTTGTTTATCTTGGTAAACAGATGGTAAATACAACTGCAAAGTGCTCTTGATGCAAAACCCACACCTTTGGAAATTGGTTATGGTTTGGGTAGAACGATTTGTTTGTCAGACCACAAGTTTCGTAAAAAGTTACAATGCATCACTATGCGATTATATTAGCCATCATTTCATAGTAATTTTAAAATTTCTGATTTACTAATGATCTTAGCGCTAACTAGCTTAGTGCTAAAATGGATTGATTTAAGCGGAAAGATTTCTTAAGTTGAATCTAGGAGAAGCGGTAATACTTTCGATTAACGTGATGCATCTTTTACTGTTTACCAGGGATGGCTATCCTTCATTGACTGACAATACGTTATTGGGACCGGCCGTAAAAGTAAAACATAAACGAGCCATGATATATGCTCCATGCCCAACACAACAAATTGATAACGAAATTTCACTACTTCACATCCTGTTATCTTTTAACATTTAAAAATTAAAAGGGATTAATGAAAACATTTTACGTTTAACACATTTATTGATATACAAGTCATATCTTAGGCACGTAGACAATGTACATACAATATTATAACTAAAAGTGCAATATCAGATAATTAGTTAACCAAAAAATTGAATTCGCAATTTAAAAAAAAATAAAAATAAAAATGTGGGTATTCAATAAATCAAATGATACACTATGCTCCTTAGTACGATGGATTAATTTGTAGAAATAGACCTGCTCTGGTTCACGTAAGCTATGATGTTAAAGTGATGCAAAAATACAAACTAGATTAACATTAATATTTTACATAAAAAACAATACACATTTTTGGATAAATGTTCTCTCTGTTTATAGCTACAATACTCTATTAAAGCTAATTAACACTGATATAAATAAGTCTATGTACAATACTATACAATACTCCCCGGAGTTGAATAATTTGCTCTAATAATAAAAAAGTAGGTGTTATGCCGTTTCCGCACGTAGGCACAGTAAGTGAAGACATATTATGGCATGGCACAAAATACATACAGGTAGGTTAAAAAATATATCTTATTACAAAGTTATGATGAACTTCTGAATGAGTATGTTATGATTTTGTGAACTTATACTTACTATTCTACTTGAACACACAAAGACGAAAAATAGAGAAATATAGTAGAAAGCTATTATTCACAATATACTGAAAGAATAATGTATGAAATTTAGTCCAAAAGTATTTTATGACTAATTACAATAAGTAGAACTACAATGTTAAAGTGCGCCAAAAGATTGCGCTAAAAAAAACAAAAGCGTGCATTATTGAACTCAGAGCGGGCTGAGTTCAGAGACGTTTTGTAAATGATGTCAGAGGCATGTGACGTCACAAGCCACTAACACGTGCAATGTAGTGGCTACACTCAAATAGTTGCTTAATTCTCTTAACAAGGCCTACAACCGGTTTTTTATTTTCTTATAAGGTCCTAATTATTCATGTAAGCAACTAGATTGAATATAACCAGTTAGATAGATAGGGCAAAAAGGGTACAAGAAGTTTTGTAGGCCAAATAACGGTTTTAAGATATGCCGGTTATTTGTCTACAAAAAAGGAATATTTTAATAAGAAATCAGAAAAGAACACGAAAAGGTTTTTGGCGTTATCAAAAATTTGCATTAAAATAAAATATTTATGTACATAATAAATTGTCGATTGAAAAATAACTTATTATTAATACTTCCGAAACCAAAACATAATTCTGAGATTACAATACGTATAGATAATTTATTCGATAGTATTATTTCAATGATTCGCTCAACTACGTTTAATCGTTAAGGTCATTTTATCACACTAGATGGCGTTCCACACAATGACTTGTGATGCCAAAAGTTTCACGGCGATCTCATCGCCTCGTCACTCTCCACTTACTTAGTTTATTATATGTATTTCTTATTATGTTGAATGCTGATCCCAAGAGTAAATTACACTTTTGAAGTTTGTATTCTTAATTCTGGAAATATTTCAACTGAAGTAAGCATAATTATAATTGCTAGATATTGCTCAATTCACCACCGTTACATAGTTTACGGACATACATCTCAAAATTATGAACATTTGGCTGTCTAATTGATAGACGTAGTAAGAAGAGAACGATTAAACCATGTCTTTTATCAGTCGTAACAGAGGAAAAACATGGTTCTCTTATGTGACGTCAATCTAAACTCTCGAGTATTTATCTCCATCATCAGTACTATAGCAGTGATGACAGTGGAGACGGTTATTGCGTACGCGCACGTCAGCCCCGGCGCGCCCGTCGCCTAGAGCGCCACCACATACGGCGCAGTTGAAACACCACACATGGTAGCAAAGGGATAGGGACTCAATGATCATTGCTGCGCCACGACCTGAACAACGTTAATAAATTTATTTTAGATCTATAGAATTAAAATGTCATAAGAATATTAAAAAAAACGTCATGAAAATTTACTGTTGATTTCTTGTACTGTTATAAGGTACAATTTATGTTACGTAGATATTTTAGATACGGAAAATAAATTATCCCATAACACTCAGCTTTGTACCTGTTTTATCGGCCAGTAAAATTTTGGCCCTTAAGTCGGATACAATACTTCTAATAAATAAAAACTTGTCAATGTACCTAATTCCTCTCCACAGTGAGAACACTTCCTTCGCCCGCTGACACTAAGTAGTTTGTCTTCTCGGCCAGTTTCTATTCGGTCGCGGCCTATATCCCGGACGGGGCGGCGTTCTTGAATAGGTTGGCTGTAATGAATATTCATTATTATATACATAGTTATTAGTATCTCTGATTGAGTTATGTAACTAAAAATTTATTAATGTACCATATATACTTGTAATAGAGATTATATGAACTGTCTGTGCTTTACGAAATTAGTACGCACTTCAAAAAAACACTCTTCACGGTTTAAGACGCGAAATGTATTGCTAAACTTATTTACAAATTATTTTATTTATTGCAGCAGCCGTGGTCACGGAGATGAATTATAAAAAAAAATAATATATTCATAATAAATTTATATATTATGAATATATTATATATTATGAATATTTATAAAATATTTGCGTGTTACCTGTTTGTTAGATTTTGGATCTTATGCGCGGGTGAATGATGCGGTGAGTGCGTGGTAGCGGGTTCGTGGTACGAGTGACGATTACGCATCTTGTTCCTCTGTTCTTCTATGCGACGATGTTCTGCCTCCTGAAAATTCAAGAATAAACAAATATTTTCTTATAAACGACAATAAGGTATGCAATGTTGCAGTATACGGCTCTTGTTATATACAATGTTTCTGATGAATTCTATCATTATTAAAAGTGTACGCACTTGCACAAGCCAATGCTGATTGTAATTGTAGTTTGGCGGTTTCTGTCTTGGTGGGTTCCTGTTTTGCATCCACTCTGTGTTTGAGATCAATTTCGGTGTTGGTGCCGCGCTTAATGCCTGAAATTCAAACAATTTATTTTTTACTGTTGAGAGAACATTGAAATTTATACTTAATTGGTCTTTAGAAAATATTGATCTGAAAGCTGTAATATTTTTCACATGTTATTGCACATTATACAAAACAGAATATGTTTAGGATTTCTCCTACTCTTTTTATTAATACCAACGCATAAAATTTTGTACCTGTAAAGTATGCCTTGTCATGGGGTGATACTGTCCATTTGCATTAACAGGTTTTTGACGAAGCTGTACTCCGTTTCTTTCAATATTGACATATTCCACTGCTGAGGGAGTCCTGCTACTCCTGAAATATATTTTGACAAACTTCTGTAGAATCATGTATTGTTATTTGATACGTTTTTATTGTAGGAGGAATTATTTTGAATAAATTGTTAGTTTATCGGTAATAACACGATCTTATCAACTAATACGCTGGACCTATTATACAGAAAGTGCACACCTACAAGTCAAAAAGTCATAAAATGTTACAAAAAAATACTGTACCTCATTGTGATTTCTCTTTCTATGGACTCTCTGCTTTTTGGTTTGGGCGGCAGCACAGGTTGGGCTGGGCGCACAGGCAATTGTCTTCTTTCATACTTCGGTTTATCATCAAACAACACCTTTCTGCTTTCTTCTACGCCAAAGTGACTCTCAATGTGCTCTTCAGAAACGAATGGTTTACGCTTTAAACTCTCATCTATAACTGAATTTTCTAGCAATGGTGGCGGCGGCTTGTGGTGAATTGGACTATGTTCTGCCAGTAAAAGGTTTGGCATCGAGTGCCTGTAACTCTGCACTCCTTTAGACCTATGTTTCTCAGGTGTACTAGCAACAGATATGTCTTGTATCGACTTCTGTATGATCCTATGTTGATCGCGCAAAAGATTCTCCTTCTGTCTTCTCAACTCCTCTTGTTCCAGTTGCAAGAGTTCTCTTTCAAAACGCAGTACTTCCTATTTTAAACGTTTGATTAATGTATGTTTTTTACAGTTAGGTTAATGAATGAATTGTGATTTGTTAGTGCATATAAGCTCGCGTATTTTGTTTTAATCACTTTCGATGGTTCATAATAATCGGTTCGCATAGTGCTATTCGCTATTGTATATTGTCTACGATATGGTAAATGAAATGGAAAATGTATGCGAACCGTTCATTATAAAAGATATTATATTTTAGTGAAAAATGTCAATCACCTTGGTGTGAGCATCGTCAAAATGCCCGTCGTGCCAATCTTCGTTAATGCGAGCGGCCTGTAAACGTACCATGGCAGCCATCTTGTTATTTACACACATAAATGGCGGGTGACAAATATACATTGTTATCAATGAAAATAATCAACAAAAGAAAACTAGCATGAAACGAATTAGTTTTTATAATTAAACATTATGTCTCTAGTAATATAAGAAGGGAAGATATAATACAGTGCTGTCATAGATAGGTCCTATAGCGAGTGCAAATAAAAGGCAGAAGAAACATTTTTATAAATCTTTTTTATTGCAAGACAACGTGCTTACATTATAATACTCTAAACAAATCTATTCATATACATATTCAGAAATTAAATATAAGCATTAAGAAGCGGTGCTGATATTAGCAGCATTATTATTAACAAAGTAACCATAACCGTAGACGGATAGACATGATCTTATGACCTCATAGTAACACGCTACATGCCAAACTACATAGCGTATTTGTATGGGGTTTGTGTCAGCGCCTCTAGTGACAAACGATAGAACTACATGCTTTCCATACAAATATTTTTCTAGCAAGGTTAACGTACTTTTGAAAGACAAAATTTAACTTGTTTGGTCGTAATTAGCTTCAAAGCCAATCTCAGATGTTACTGTTACTAATCGGTCATATCTTACGACAATGTTATGCAAAAAGCGGTAATCCCGTAACCAAAGTTTCGGTTAATCTTAAAACCGGATTTAATCGGTAATTTAGTTCTTTACGCTTTGTTTAACAGATACTAGACCGTTAAATGAGAGATAATTCAAGTAATAAGCCAATCTTCATGTTAAATATTAAAAGAGCTCAATTATTACATGTTGGAGATACACTACATTGGCATCATGATAGTTAAACAAGTTTTGTCTCTTTTAAACACATTGGTAGTGAATAGGACAAAGACAAAAACCTACTTTGACTATACAACAGTCAGAGCTCTGAAAAGAACAGCATACAATATATTTTCTAATAGATCAAGCATTCTACAATATGTTTTTATAGATTCTAATCATGCCTGTAGTAATCAACACTAGAATGAGAGTCGTTGCGAATCAATTTTTCAGGATTTAGCATATTTACAAAAAAAACATGCAACGACTGTATAAAATATTGTTTGAATGAATATTATATATATATAACGCAGAACGTCATCACTCATCCCTTACCTGCTGCTGCTGTAGTTTCTTGTCCAAATGATCGATTTTCTCGTCACTTGGCAAATCGGTCAGTTTTTCTGTGAGGTCCTTAGCAAATGTTTGTTCGGTCTTTTTAGCAGACTCTTCTTCATCTGACGTAACTGTAATCTGGGTGTAGGGCTGAAATAAATCAATTTCTTTTCTTAAATAGTCTGTATTTTAAACGCGAAATATACTAGTTAAACTTATTTAAACATTATTTTGGTCATGCCAGACGATTCGTTAAATAAGTTTAACTAATTTAAAAATCGAAAATAAATTGAAAAAATTTTCGACTCGGGAGGACTTGAACGGCATCGTCAGCTTTCCGTGCTGTTGCTCTACCAATTGAGCTACCGAGTCCTACACCTCATCGTCGAATTTTTTCAACTTATTGATACCCTCTCGCGCAATTAATTTCTACCTTAACACTTGCGTATTAAGGCTCAATGTCTTATGCTTTGCAGCTTAAGAAATCATTGAAGATAAATTAAAATTATAAGTTTGAAAAAATTAATATTTTTCAATTTATTGAATGAAGGCACTATATAATTTAAAAATCAAAATAAATTAAAAAATTTTATGGGAGGACTTAACCGGATGTAGCTTTTTGTTGCTCTACCAATTATAATCTAACCTATTAATTTTTTAATTATAAGTTTAACTAATATTTTAATAGTTCACGTTTTAAACTGTTAAAATTTTTTATTTCATTTCTTTTCATATTTCCCTTGATTTTAGTTTTTACGTACACAACGAAAGTGAGGTATTCTGACAACATCATTTTTTCTAATAGTGACGGTTTATTATAGTTATTTATTCCAAGGTAAAATAATGTATAGTTTTATTGTAAATAAGTTACATTGATAATTGCTAACTTTACGTCTCTCTTTAAGAAAACGATTTAAAAATATTTCACTTCAAAACCTTACTATACACAATCATTTCTTAATTATCAAGAGGTTTCTGTTTTCAAAATAATGTTCAATCCATGTATGGACTAACATTCGATTTCTATATAAAATTATACTTCTTTCGTTATATAAATAATAGTAAGAGCCTCATTTCTTAATAAGAATAAAAAGGGTAATAATTATATCAGTCTCCCACCTCACTGTTTTGTCTGCTATGTGGTGCGGACGTCTCCGGCGACGATCCCTTATACCAGGCTTCAGCAGAGGGTCCTCTATCAATATCCACACCAGAATCCCTACTATCCCTCAACTTTGCGTCCATATCATGTGACAAGGTCTTCTTGTACAGCAACTTCTCAATCTTAGTCTCCTCTTGAAGAAATGACGTGATGTCTGGTCTCGGAGCCAGGGTGAGGTCCACGTCAAGGTAGCTGTCGTCCTGACCTTCGATGCCCAAGAAACTGGTGCGTTTATTTCTGATTTCTTTCTTGATGCGACGTGCCGAGTTTGTGTGCTTGAAGTTGCCCTGGAAGTATCAGGTTGTACAAATAAAACTGTGAAGATATCAAAAGTATGAAAGTTCTTCTGTGCCCAAAATAAAAAGTAAAAAAGTAACTTAAGGGTACTGGGCATAGCGTACTGTAAAGAATAAATGCATTACATAGTTATAATTACACAATCTCAAGTAAATAAAAAAGAACTCTGATTTATTCTATAGTGTATTCGTATATTATACTCACATTTCCCAACAATTCATCTTCTGGACTTTCTTCAGCTGGCGGTGGAGGCGGCTTCTCTTTTGGTGGTTCTAACACATTTGTTGGCAAGTCCAATGGAAATGCGCCGGCGTCAACCACATGGTTCTGAGCAAATATATCAATGTTTTCATACAACGGCGTCACAGACACTCTTTTGGTCGTATCGAAATCAAATTCAGACATATTCTGTGCTGTTTCTGATTTAATATCTTCTAATTTATCACTGTCACTCATCGTTACATCAATGTTTTCTTCAGAATCGAGTTCTTTGAACGCTAACTCTAGAGCGTCAATTACCTGAAAACATACATTTTTAATTAACAAAGGCTCAACTTTACCTACAGACAACCAGACTAAAAAACACAACAATCTCGAAACAATAATCTAATATAATAATAAATTAGTATATATACTAAGTAATATAATCATGCAAAAGAAATCTAAATGAACAAATTAGCACACAATGCGGCGATAATGCGTGTTAGTGAAGCGTACTACATTATTCTTACCTTATATTAGCCCATCACCACAAGCTGACGACCTAACGCGAGAATTTAAGGAAATTGAGCAACGAGCAGATACCCAGAACGGTAACATTTGACTAACACTTAATCGCTAGACCCTGTTTGCACAAGATATGACTTGCAAAGATAAAACTCTTAGTTTATCAGAACCTGATTTCATTAGCTCCGTAATACTGCTCGCAGCAGCAGGTAATTAGCGATTCGATACTAGTTATCTCGATTTAAACAAAGATAATGAGGATATAGAAGATTATGTAAATAAAACTCGCACGTAACATGTAACATATATTTTTGATAATGCATTTACAGATATCACGATGAAAGATTACCATGTCGCTAGTTTAAAGGGTCTACATGAAAATATAAAATGTTCATACAATTGACATTCTAATGGGCACTAATGATTACCCTGTTTAAACACTAATCGCTAATGAGTTATGACTTGAATGTAAATTACGTAATGTATTTGTCAAGTGCTAGGATCATGTTATTTGTTTAGCACGTGATAATGTTTAGTACCGATATTATGATAGTTACTGATAAAATATTAATAGATGAACGGTGGTATAAATTGCTAGAGGGCTCGGTAAACTGAAAAATTTTCGGAATAGAGTTTATGAATCTACATTTAACTAGATACAAAATTCTCATCGCGCTTGCTTCAGCAATACATGAGAAAGTGTATTAGTTTTGAAATTAATACTTTCTATTTGCTATTATTCGTATTAGCTACAGACTTGACATTTGTTACTTTGTTATTGATTAATAAAATTGTTTTTCTTCTATTAGGCTCGATGCACCGTTTAGTTCTTTTCTGCCAGAAGGGATTAGAGTCTTGCGAGGTACTTACCGCAACATCGTCATTAGCTGCTTTACTGGGAATATTACGAGTTACATTAGACATACATACAATATTATTAGACGGGCTAAATTGAGCTACTTCGTGATAACCTACATTACTTTCGGGCGATTGTGATGGTACTACATTCATGGGTTTGTTAATATATGAATTCTGATCGAATAATCTCAATGTTTTAATGGAATTTTTTGGCGAAATGTTAGTAGTAGTTGTTATATTAGAAACAGTTACCATAGGCATGCTTTTGTTAGTAGATTCACTGCTGTTAGTGTTGTCAGCGCCAGACTCGCTAGCATTGTTCCCAGCACCAGAGTTTAAGTTGTTGCATATTTCATTCAAGTTTAAGTGGATAGTCATTTTCCCTTCAAACACCACAGCATCTCCATCTGACGCTGTGGACACCGGTTCATTGAGACTTACACTGGAATCTTGATTTTCCAAGCTTTTTAATGTGTCTTCGTCTTCTTTATCGACTTGTATCTCTGTTACGTCTTCGGAGACACTTAAATCTTCAGGGTGTGACAACGCTTGTGTGTAATTGCTAGCGCTATCTGTATCTTCCGTTTTGTTGTCATCAGCGAGCTCCTCTATAAGAACATCCTTATTGCCCTCAAATTGATCGGTAGTATCATTGGAGTTCTTTACTGCAGGTGTTAGCATTAAACCATCTTCGTTTAATGATTCATATTCGGAAACCTCAATCATAGGTTCTCCGATAGGAGAAGCTACTTGAGTAAGATCAGCGATGTCATCTGCAGGTGCACAAGAATCTCTAGCAGTATGAATTCCACTATCTTCTGTTTCTATATCACTTGGAATTGTATTATTTTGCATTTCAGGACAGTCAAAGTCTTCGAGACTTTGAACTCTTTCGAATGAGTTAGGTGAAGCTTGGTCATTTATGTCTAAACTGTCGAGAGATCGACAGAAACTGTGCATCTGATTCTCTATTCCTGACAAGTTCTCTTTAACTGAATTATTATTTGACACTTCGTCTTTTAATTCATTTGAAGTTACTCCACAGGTTTGAATTGTTGTTGAAGAAATTTGTTCTTCAACAGATATCCTAGGAATCTCTTTGTTTTTAGCAGCGTCCAAACACGACAGCCTCTCTTTAAGACTCATTGAAACTTCTTTAACTTCAGTTTTCGTTACTTTTACTTCTTCTTCCGACGTCTGAGACTTGAGACTCGACAATCGTTCTCTCAATGATTTAGTGTTGCTTAAATCTCCGTTAGAGATTCTTTTGACCTTTTCTGGCTCTGTAGATTTCACTTTTTCTAAACAAGATAAACGATCTTTCAATGGTTTTACTTCGGTTGGTAACTTTGTCAGGTCACTAGTAGACTTTTGAACTTGATTTTCTTCTGTAAACTTTTCTAAGCTAGACAGTCTTTCTTTGATACTTTTTTTATTCGCAATATCATGTAGTTTAGATTTGTTTACTTGGGATTCTTGTGAATTTTCCCTTTCAAATTGTTCTCTCCGTTTGTGTATGTCTACTTTAGGCAAATCTTTCTTTGGGTTATTGTTTCTTAGGTCGTTCGATCTCTCTCGTTGAAAAGAAAAAAGTTTTTCTTCTATTTTATTACTAACGGATGTCCTTATCTTATGTACATCGCCGTTAGATTTATCCGGGGACCTATCCTTGCTGTTATTATTGACAACTGTTTTGACCATGCTGCTGTTAGTCGTCGAAATGATTCTGGATTTGTATCCTTCAATCGCACTTTCGTACGTGTATTCTTCAGGCTCGGGGGAGCTTATGGTCGTAGTCGTGCATGTATCGTATTCGTTAGCACTAGATCCTATTTTTCGGTTGCTTTCATAAGTTGACATATTGTCCATGTCTGAATGGTTCTTATCGAGATCCATTCCGTCGCTCTGAAATGAATTGAAAGAAATATAAGAGGAGTTTGTTTAATTTCTTGACAGCTTGATATAATTGTTGTGCTCAATTTTGTTTCTTACCGCTAAGCTGTGCGTGTCACAGTCCTCGCTTAGACTGCTCTTGGTACTCGATGTCCCAATACCAAGGTCACTGAGGTCGTGAGCATCATCGTCTGTGTATAGCGCGAGATGATTTCGCCTTCTTCTTCCAGCGCTGTAATAGAAGAAATATCTTTTATAAATAAATGAGAAAATTACAATTTATGATCTTATTGACATAGTTAATTGTGTTTCTATTATAAAAGAACATTTTCAGTAGATAAGAATTTATTTATAAGCTTTTGGTTTTTGTTTTAATTTAAAGAGAAAACTATTTAAAGCTGAATACTGCCAATGATTTGCGAATTTCGATTTCGTTTATTCACATACAAGCAATTCCGTTCTCATATTCGCACCTACCAACTAGCTAGTGACTATTTACCATTTGCTAAGATGTTTGTCAGAAGCAAATATTTGACTATGAGTCGCACGGTGCGTTCATCTATACGGTAAGCCTGTATTACTAATGCACTAACCGTCTTAGTAAAAGGTAAAAGAAGAAAACCAGTAGACCCTACTGCTTTCGTAAAAAAAACAGGTGAGAAATGTTTTTAGTATATAGATTTATATCGAAGACAGCAACGCACAATGAAAAGTGACGGTATGTTACGTAAGAATTTACTACACAAAATGAATATATACAAGCTTAACATACTCTTCGTTCTTCGTAATTTGAGAATTGCTTTCTATTCAAATGTCCAAAAGTGTTACGGCGAAAGTATCGGACGGGGTATGTTTATTTTCACTTTCATTGACAAATTATGAATTTGGTTAGCGACGTATGATTTATGCTGATTTTATTGCTGATGAACTTATTAGTTGATAAATCAATTCCTTACACCTGCTACCAAATTTATTTTTACAATCTAAGAATAACTTCTTTCTTTTTCTACTTAATTCAATTAAATTTTTTTACCACAAACGATTAAAAATCATTTGAATTTACTTGTAAACGGTTCCTTTCACATCGACGGTAAAAAAATATATTTGTTCAAAAGGTGATAATTTTGTATTTAGAAAGTGACCAAGTATTTACTAATCGAAATAATAAAACTTTGCCCACCAGAATTTCTTTACTAATTTCGCGGTACTAAATTTGACTAAAAAATTAACACATCATTGACTGCTTTACTTTAAACGTCAATTATATACATAAGGACTATTAATTTATTTATTTGTATAGATGATGTATTGTATAACAGTATGTCTATAAAATACTATCTGAGCGCACTAACAACTGGGACAAGAAATGAAAATTGACATGAGTAGTGATGTAAACAATTCGTTTACGAACTCGTTCGTGACTGAGTTGACCCCTACGATGTGCTCGGACCATAATTTTGTATCATTTACGTTACGTCACTTGTCTTTAAAATATCAAAATCCTTTCTAATGTTAGCTGTGTTAACACAGACGAAAAAGTTATGGTTCATGTTTGCGTTTTATAATCGAAGTGTAACGTCGGAAACGACGTGACGCTGGAATGTTATGCCCTCGATACAATATAAAAATATACACAAATATATACCAGATTGTATTTTTCTTTGTACAGCTAAAAAAAAGAAGAAATTATTGCTTGAGAGTACGCTTACAGCCGGAGACAGCTTATATAACTAGCTAGTCGACGAGAGACGATAGCAAATAATAAAAAAATATATAATCACATATAACGAACTCATTTTTTATTTATAATCGATTTTTAACCTAAATATTCGCAAAAGTAAAAGTTACACATGGTATTTCAGTAACAGCGAATCTGCGTTAAAGGTCATTTCCCACAGATTTATCAGAACATAAAGTGTAAATCAGGACCCCAATGGATGGGAACACGGAAAGCGTGTGTGCAATTTGTTCGGGGATCGAACCCGAGACACGCAAGCTCGTGACGTATCGCACGAATCAATTTCCTTGAGCAAAGGATACGTCGATTGATGGATCGTGCGAGATACAAATAGAAGAGGATAACTTTAAAAATTTTGCGTAAACACAGATAAAATAAATTCATTAAAAGGAACTACCAATTTAAGCAATGTTTTCTTATTTGTTTATTTAAATCTTTTTCTAGAAAATAATTATAACCAGCAGGTCCTTTCGTAGAGTTCCACTTCATGCTTATGTAACCTTTTACAAGTAATATTACCGATTAATTTACCGTTAAATTACCGATTTACGAGACTCTAATGTTGTTTCATAAGGTTGGTTTAAAACTTCACCGCAAAAATGCGAAGAAAAACCACACAATTACAATTTGTATGCGGTTTAAAAGTCTTATCTGCGCTTGTAGGATAATTACATATAAGCACATAATTCGTTGAGATAAACTATGAAACTGACACAACAAAACATTTTATTTAGGTACTTTTCTCCAAGGAAAACATTTTGCTTCAAGTGACTTGAACATGGTTTAAAATGTTCTAGAATAGCACAACGATTATATAGTTACACGTCATATTTATTAGACATAATTTTGAATAATGTTAATTTTTTTGCCTTTTCATTGCAAAGCCGAAAGGAGTTACAGCCCAGCTTAACTAGTTCCCACTTTTTTGAGATGTGAGTGTGTAGAAAATGCTTATAAAGGATTGCATGTGACGAAATCTAAACCAAATTATAAAACTGTGATAAAATGATGTCTATTCTAACATTATAAAGCTAAAGAGTTTGTTTGGAAGCGCCAATCTCAGAAAACGATAGACGTGCAAAAACGGTTGAAAATACCCATAAAATATGTACAAAAGAATGAAATGAAATTGCCAGTAACAGTAATGTCTATCATTTAAGGTTAATTGCGAGAAAGACGGGACGCGATCGAAGTCGTAGGAAGCAATTGGTAAAGATGATTTGGAGGTTTGCGAAGACGTTTTGATGTCCAAAATAACTATCCTACGCGGACGAAGTCGCTAGTACCGCTAGTAATCAATAAAAAATTCTACTTGTTACGATCGTTGTATGAAAGCGATGTCGAGGAGTACGTAATAAATATTGAAGCCAATCCTTCTTCGTTTCAGCCGATCCTAGATATCTCATTTTGAAACAGCCTTCAAACAAAAAGCCTTGCAATATTCCCGATTCTCATGGAATTTCTCCCGCACATTATGGAGCTGGCCACGGTATGGCACTGCGAGAAAAAGTTGTAGCTCTCCGAAGCTTCCTGCGCGGTCGGTTACCAAATACGTAAAGTGCCGTTTGAAAGCTAAGCTCTTTTCACATACCATCACTCTTATAAGCAAATCTAGCTTTGGTTAGTGCGAGCCTTGTAACCCCATTGCGTTATAACATGTAACTTGAATATTGTAGTTTATTTTTTTTTTAGGAATAACAAAACTTTATTTAAGTGTTAAAACTGTTGAAGTACTGTCTGTAGTTTACGCGAGTAGTACACATTTAAATAAGACACTTTAACGGTTTAATACGCGATATATATTAGATACAAGTTTAACTAATATATATCGGATTTAAACCGTTAAGGTTTTTTTTTTATTTAGTAACTAGTGCTTCAAATGTGTCACGTAATTCTTACCTAAGAGCTGTTGACAGTTAAGTGGTGGGCAGTAATGTGTAAAAGCGTAACCTACTAGCACGTCGTACTTAATTTACACAATACAGTAATGTTAGAACACAAGATATGTATATCGTGCAAAAATTCACGAGTTAACGACATACGTGATCGAAGACCGACATGTTACATTGCTCTATTAGCGAGAACGATGGAGAAATGTCGGAATTCTTTGACGTGACTCGAAATGACGCTTTGGAAACGTTCATTGTCACGACGTTAATAAAATGGGTTAATTTAATTACATCATTATAGACAATGTGACCCCTTAAGAGTAAATGTGGTTTTAAGCTTTTTCAAAAGATGGTTTGTAGGCACGACGTATAGGATTACATTATAATTAAAAATCAACTATAAATTAATAAAATTTATGACATGGGCAGACAAGTTCTGCCTGCATCCACAACGTTCCGTGCTGTTGCTCTAACCAATTGAGCTACAGTGTCCTACACGTCACCGCCGAATTTTTTCAACCTATTGGATATACATGCACCCCACTCACATTACTTTATCATTTACTAATTCTTATAAGTGAATACCAACGCCAAATCTCTAACCTAATGGTAACAGATTTGTCTGAGACACCATGTCACTTAATTTCGGTTAATTTGAAACGACTCAGTTTGAAAAGACTATTAATTTAAATAGAGAAACGATTTAAATAAAACACTTTAATGGTGGAAAACGTGATATATATGATTTTTTTTTAATCAACCGGAACGTCGGGCCGTACTTAGGTAAGTTTCTAATAAGTTTAACTAATATGTATTTCGTTTTAAACCGTTAAAGCGTTTTAATCAAATGTGTAAGTACTACTCGCGTAAACTACATACAGTATTTAGGCAAATGTTTTAAAAATTATTATATTATTATTTATATATCTATTTTTTTTATTTCTTAATAAAACCTTCTTGAAAATCTTTATTTTTAAATGATCATTCCAAGACATCAATTATAGGTAAGGAGTCATAAGTGATATATAATGAAGTATCATTAAGTTAAGTACCTATTTAAAATGCAGCGTGAAAAATATAATAACTAGTCAATTGACCGTGCACTAGAAATGATACCTTCATAGTACAATGTTAATCAAGCTTTACACATTTGATTTCGTTTGAAAACTTTAATATTTTTCACGTTATTGCACATGAAGGCACTATATCATTTAAAAATCGAAAATAGATTGAAAAATTTTCGACTCGGGCAGGGCTTGAACCAACAGCACGGAACGCTGACGATGCTGGTTCAACACCTGCCAAAATCGATTTTTTTTTTCAATTTATTTTCGATTTTTAAATCACATTTGATTTCATTTAATAATGTTAGTTTATAGTAAACATGAGGCGATCCAAATTGAAGTAAAGAGAAGCAGGATAGTATTGTGCAGTGGGTACACAATATAAGGTTTTGGAAGGATTAGATTAAAATTATTTCCTCATGTACAATTTTAAAAACATATATATCGTTTAATACTTCCGAAAGTCGAATTTCAAAGGGCGAGGACGAGGGAAGGTTAAAGTTAAAGTTGAAAAGTGTTACCAACTTGGGTGTAAACCTTC